AAGAGGAAGAGGAGAAAGAGAAAAGAAAGAGGAACGAATCGGGTCGGTCGCACGATCGATCGGGAGGAAAAGAAAAGCCCTCTCTTGCCCCCAAGAGTCAAGAGTGCTTGGAGAGTGCTTTGCTAGCGTTTTATATACGCGCGTACTCGTGCGAGCCGGGAAAGTTGAATCTGAAAGAAAAAGCGTAGGAACGTTTGACGGATGTGTGGCCGCAAGATGTGCTCGCTTTGAACCCAGGCCATCGTTATACGAGCGGAAGATATCGAAACCCTCGAACTCGATCAAACTCCTCCGTCAAGAGAGATATCGTTTTTCATTTTCATTCAAGGATCGAGTGGCGAAAAATTTTCTACCGCGCTTTCTCGAAACGAGAGAATCCTTTCGAGAGAAGGGAAACGAAAGAAATAAATTCTGGTGAGAATTAAGGGAGCTGGTGTATGCTCCCTTAATGGCGATCGTATGACGAAAATCCTGCGAAACCATTCTTCGACCCTATTCGACCCTCTTCCTGATGCATCTTGATAATTTCTTGGGTAAACAAGCGCCATTGTCCCGCGACGACGACGATGCGTCTTTTATCGAGAAATTGGAAGGGGGGAGGGAGGGGGATGCCGGTCTATCCTTTTGTCATCGAGTATCATCGATCATTTCTCTGCTCGTGAGGAGAGAACGTAAATCGTGTAGCGTGACAATTCGGTATTTTGCCTCCATCGTCCCCACGAATTTTCTATATATTGGTGTATACACGCGTATTTCCAATCATTGCTGTGTTCAGATTCTCTCTTCCTCGGTCAGAGGTTCATCGATCGACTTCCCGTCCGACTTCCCATCCACCTTTTCCTTTTTTTGCCTCGCTGCGAATTTGTTCCAATCGATCCCCCCGCCCCTCTCTCTCTTCTTCCTCTCCTCCGTTTTTCCTCCCTTTCGCTTCGAAAAGGAACGCGTGTACGTCTCTCGCCTCCTTCCTTCCCGCCACGTCATCCTCTTCTTCGCTCCGCACGCTTCCACGACGGACTTCTGAATCCCCGACACGTCCCTCCCCCTTCCCTCTCCCCCGTGCAGAAGGGTAATGTTTACCGTGAGTCATCGTCTATTCACGGCCCTCGTTTCTCCGATGCCGATAAAAATCCACGGTATAAATAGATAAGGCCGATTAATCGCGAATCGGGGAGTCGCGTCAGCGCGTTCGATTCCTGGACGGCGCGCAACGCGCGCCTCTCTGAATGGCGGAGAGGGCGAACATACGGAGGAGGAACAGCAATAACGCTTTCGTGCACAAGATCTCGAACAAAATTTACACCCGTCCATCTCTCTTCTCTTCTCCTTCCCACGAGATGACCACGGTCGAACAGGAACAAAAGATTCGATTCACTCTCGTGCTCAATTCGACGAAATGAAGAAAAGATAGAAGAAGAAAGAAAGGAGGAGGAGGGCTCTCGGAGGGAGAGAGAGAGAGGTTGGAAACGCAGCTCTCCTCTCATCTCTTTTCGCAGGGAGAAAATTCTGCGAAAATTTCCCGAAAGATTCGATTCGGCCAAGCTTTCGAGACGATCGAGAGGAGGGGACTCGGAGGAGGAATCGCGCGAGGAAACACGTGTCGCCGTTCCATGAATGCCTCCTCTGTCTTCGCGTATCCGTTACACTCTCCCGCATTTCTTCGCCCTCCTCCTCCTCCTCCTCCTTCACCGTCCTCTCGTTCCTTTTGCGCCGCTATCACCCCGCAACGCCCACGAATCGCGCGCGCGTCAAACGAACAAAGGGGAGGGGAAAAGAAATGAAGGAGCAAAGGACGGAGAGCGGGATCGTGTTCCGGGATGCTCGACGGATGATCGACGAGCAATTTTGTTTCTCAAACTTGGAGAATTTTCAGACTCGGAGAATCTTTTAGAGAAATCTAAAACTTTGGAGAAATCGATTCTCCAAATAGGAGATACGAATTTCGTTACAGAATTTATACGGATTCGTTGGAAGTTTGTTTTCGAAAATAATAAAAGGTTGCTTGGGATGTTGCACGCATTCGAAGCAACAACTTCGATTTAATTAATTGTTTGTTTCAAATAAGGAAGGGGAGGGGAGGGAGAGTTATACTAGGAATCGTTGTTTAATCTTTCGCTGGGACAGATAGTTTCTGCTACAACGTCTTCTCACTCCCGATTGTCACACCCGATTGTTCCTCGTCCTCATTGTCGTGGCTAACAATGGCCTTTGTCGCAGCTCTCGGACAATCCTCGCCTGTTTTATAGCATAATTTTCCGGTTGGAAAACGCCGCGCCGATCGATCGGATCAGGAAAATAATAATAACGGAGCGGAGGAGACGTCCGTTTCCATTCGTCAAATGCGTTTCGACGCGACGCAACGTCTCGTCTCGAAGGAGACGGCGAAGGCAAGGATCGAGAAAAATCTTCCTCCCTCCACCCTCCCTTCCCCAGTCTTCGCACACACGCGTGACGGGGGAAAAGCTCGTTCGATAATAAACGATCTCGCCCCAACACGATGTTTCCACGAGGAGATTGACGGGAGGAAGGAAAGGGATGCGCTCGCCTCCTAATTTTATAATCCTCGTTGCTTTTTCGCCACGGTGTGGAAAAAGGAAAAATTCTCATCCCGTCGGATTACAGGATACGTGCCTCCAAACAATTAATGCACGTCGTTCCGCTTTGATCTTCGATCCAGAATGCATGCCTTCGAAGAATCCTCTTCCGCCGGGAATATATTAACATACTTACTTGTCCTGCGACCGAAATCTTCCCTCCCTCCAGTGGATTTCCCGCAAGAATCGTTCCGAGAAGTAAGTGCGACCCTCCCCCTTTCCTCTCCGTGAAAAGGTGAGAAAACTGGCGAAAAGGAAGGCAGATTTCGAAGAAAAGAATCCCCCCTCCTCCCTGTCCGTGGGGTGAAATTTCTCGAAGCGACCCCTCCTTCGAGGAAGAAGAGACTCTCCCCCCATTCCAACACTCTTTACGACTTTCTTTCCGCAGGAGTTCCTCGCCACCCATTGTGCGGGGATCTGTGAAAAGTCAAAACTTACCGTTACCATTCGATTCGACTCGTGGTCGGAAGTCGTGTCAAGTCGTGTGTATATGCGTGCGTGTGTACATAATCGACATCCGTGTACGTTCGTTTCACGGGGGTCTGGAAATGGTCCTAATAGCGGTATATATATAGGGGAAAAAAAAAAAAAAAAAAAAAAGAAAAAAGAGAGAAAAGGCACGGTGAATTCATTAGAATTAGAAGGGACTCCGAGTTGAATATATCCGAGTCGAAGGGACGAGGCGTTGACGATCCGAGGCCTCGCCGGTTGCGAAGGAACCACGGTGCAAACATCGCGGCGGCGAAAAAAAAAAAAAAGGAAAAAAAAGTAAAGAGGAAAAAAAAGACGCTCTCTCGTAAGCGGCACCTAACGGGTTCCCCGTGTAATTACTACTAACGAACCGTTTGTTTCGCTCGACGAGACACACGGTGACTCACAGGTGTGCTTATAGTGGCGAGGTACCCGGCGCCAAAGCGCACCGTGATTACATAATGGCCGACGTAACGATTCGCGAACGTTGCACCGAGGGTATCGCGAGGCCGAAACGAGGATGTCTGGATGATTGTTCATTCGCCATTATCCAGTGCCAATATTCTAATCGAAGCCTTCGTAGAATTGCAATTATAATTGCAGGACGCGAAAGAAGAAGGAAGAAGCTTTTTCTTGGTTCCTCCTCCGGAATAGTTTCGAACGAAAATGTTAACGATCGTAGGTTCGAAGCATAGAGAGGGATTATTAAAGTGTGAAAAAGCGAATATTTCGAAGGAATTGCTCGTAGCGAAGAAAAATTAATGGGTCCCTCTCCCATCCCTGACCGAGAGAGCCTTTCAAATTTTTTCCTCCCTCCCCCCGGAATTTTGATAAAACTTACTGCTAAACTGTCATTTTCCCTCGGCTGTTTGAAATCGGTTAGAAACAGGAAACTATAAAGGAGAAGTAATTTTAAAGAGAAGCTTTTCTAATTTTCCGTGGAATTTTGATAAAGTTAATGTCATTTTTCATTCATATTGAATATACCAATTATTAACAGACAATTCAGGAAACTATAAAGCAGAAGTAATTGGTGAGTTTAGAAAAGTTTTTGGAATTTTGATAAAGTTAATGTCATTTTCACTCACGCCGAACATTAATCGTTAATGAACGGTTCTCATTAGCGGTGCGCGGCAACAGGCGGAACTGGAGGTTTGCTCGATGCCTCTCGGTTCGGAGGAGCTGTAATTACGACTAGCGTGTTTCTTAGCGGGGAGATTGTGACTGTTATGAAAGTTTTATTAATAGCGGTTCGTACACACACATATATATATATATATATAGGGACGAAGTGGGGGATAATCGGCGAGCGGACTCTCAAGGTTTTCGAAGAAAATGAAGATAAATACGGGCCCGATCCGATCGCGTTATTAATCATCGAGAAAACGAGGATTTCGTAACGAGGGGGAAGGAAACGTTGCGGTGGCGTGTGGTTTGGTAGCCAAGTTGGGACCAAGCTAGATTATACTTGTCACGGTTGTTCCGCGCATCGGAAAGTAACAGCCCGGCAATAACGGGGGACCCCATTTTCTTTCCATATAACCAACGTATTTTATCGAGTTGCTACGACTCGCATGACGACTGTCGATGCATATTCCTTCCCACCTCCGCTTCCTGGTTCCTGGCGTAGTAGTAGCTTCCGGTCTCGTGACAGCCCGTCCTGGTCCACGGCTCGTTCCGTCCCAACATTACCAACAGCGCCTCGTCACTTTCACGTCGCGTTTCACCTCCTGGAACACTTCCTTCCTCGTGAACTACCGGTTTGCGCTCGCGTTCAAACCACCACGAAAGAAATCGAAGGAACTAGCAACTAGTTCGAGACACTTCGAAGATACGCTTCTTTCTTATCTTTATTATTATTATTATTATTATTATTATTATTATTATTATTATTGTTATTATTATTATTTAGGAGAAACCGTTTTTTCTCGATTCTAGAATGTTTGACGACGAAGGGGGAAAGAAAGAGAGGGAGGAAAAAGTAAATATATATTTGAAGAGTGGAGTAGGTGTTTCTGATGCGATGATGCATCATCGGTCGGATAAATAATTCATGGCGGTAAAAAAAAAAAAAAAGAAAAAAGAAAGAAAGAAAGAAAGAAAAAAAAGGAAGGTTTCAGCCTGGGGCCCCGCTCGACCAGGATGATCGTTCCGGGACTGACAGGAGGCAGATGAGCGTGAAGGAACGAGGTGAAAAATGGAGGACTGTTAAACAGGATTTTCAATGTTGACCGAGGCAACGAGGAAAACGAGGACGATACTTCCTCGAGAGAAGTTTTCTACTGGATCGTCCAAAGGAGGGGGGGGAGTCCATTCCACTTTTTCCTCTTTTCCTTTCGCGAAAACTTTCTTACGATCTTCGAAAAGACAGAGAAAGAGAGAGAGAGAGAGAGAGAGAGAGGGAGAGTTATTATCTTCGAATCTTTTTGTGGATGCCTCGAATGGAGGAAGGAGGAGGACGAGTTGGGATGGATTTTCGCCGCTTAGGAGTTGGATACATCGTTCTCTCAAGTTACGGAAATGAAATCGAGCTTGAAAGGTTTTGCTTCTACGGTTGCAACCTCGAAAGGTTGCGAGTTAACGGTATCGATTTTACGAAACGGTCACCCGGTATACGTGACACTCGTGCGTTATCCCAGGATCTGAGGAAATAAACGGTTTCCTGAGCGAAACGTGCCACTGCAGTGTGGCCACACAAGGGGGGAACAGATAAAACACGGGACGGAGGAGGCACGAGGAGTTTTTAAGCCCCTCTCCTTCCACTCGGAGGATCGACACGTACGTCGTTTCATAAATATTCATTTCGAATCCCGTAATAAAAAATTCGTGAATGGGGAAAGGGTGTCTCGAGAGTTTCATTCACTCCTTTCGATCGAGGGCGCATTTCCACGCGTTATGAACGAACGTTGAAGAGATTAATCGATGAATCCAGGCTTCAGAAATAAGGCCACACGCTCGATATGTACGCGTTCTCTCTCTCTCTCTCTCTCTCTCTCTCTCTCTCTCTCTCTCGCTCTCTCTCTCGTGGAGGAAACTTTCGGATCGACAGGATGCGGGTCTAGAGGAGGATTGCCTTATTTATGGGGCGTTCATATTCGAAATACTCGCGTATATACGACTTCTGGAGCTTAATGGGCTGTAAGAGAGAGAGAGAGAGAGAGAGAGGACGGCTCTTTCTCGAGATTCTTCAATTCTTGAAACACGTCCTCCCGTTTCAATAGTAGGTTGTACGTATATACGGTTTGGAAACATTTAGTAAACGTGCCTGTTCGACCAGAAAATACGATTTTCCGATCTTCCCTACCCAAACAGATGTTTAGTCACCTCTCCGCTAAACCTCTATCGACAGAAGAACTTTAACAGCCAGCTTCTATCTCCTACGTACACACATTTGCGCGGACGACGCAGCAAAGAGGCCGGCGCCCAAAAAAAAAAAAAAAAAAGAAAAAGAATTGAATTCAAAGCTGCGACGATGATTCACACGTTTCGTAATTCCCCTTCGTGGAAAATCTCACGGAGTTCGTAATTGGTTCTGACAAACGCGCCGACCTTGAAAGGCGTCGTGTGATTCACCGCGATGGAAAAATGCTTCGACCGATTCGGAACGGCGAAGATTAGAAAATTCGTTCCAGAAACGCCAATCTTGCCTGGCCGCTTTCGTTTTCCATTTTCGCGCGAGCGAGAGAGCGCCGCCAGTTTTCATAGTCGTCGCCTCGCCTCGCCTCGCCTCGCCTCGCCTCGGCCGCCGATCGTGGTCGACACTTTCACGAAGATCGGCGAGGAGCGAAGAGACGCGAGTCAAAAACCGCGCGAAACCGTGTTGGTGTGTCACGTGACGATCGACGCGTTCGACTTGCGAGCGTTATCGAGCGGCGCGCAATTTGCAAAGTAATTTATGCAAGCGCCGCGTGCGACCGATTTCCACGCTCGGCAAGATCGCCACAGGATCGAGAGGAGGAGAAGGAAAAAGAAGAAAAAGAAGAAAGAACGTTGAGTCCACGTTCAAGCCGTTTTCAATTGCTACACTTTCTCGACGTGGCGGGGAAACCAAATCAAAAACCAACCCAAAAGTTTTCTCCGTGTCGTATATCTTTTATAATATCTATACACGATGCGAGAGTATCGAGAATAGCTATATAGGCTTTATATACACGCCCTTTTTAAGTTCGTTAATTTATCGAAACGGCCGAGTGCAAGGTTAAAAGAGAAGCGAAAGAAAAAGAGGTGTCGTCACGAAGATGGGTGTTTCCCCGCCTGTCTATCTTTAGCGTTTAGGGGGCAATCGATCCGAGCGTAGGTATGATCGCGAGCTATTCGACGAGCTATCAGCTGGTTTCCGTGGAAACCAGGTGGGGGCGTGTGTCGTAGGTCGTTGAGCGTAGGCTGGCCGAGCCGAAGCGAGTCGAGTCGAGTCGATCCGCGCAGGGAGGGAGAGAGAGAGAGAGAGAGAGACAGAGCGTTGAAATGCGGGTGAAGGACTTCCACGTAGCGCGTACCTTTTCTCTTTCTCCTCTTCTTCCTTATCTGGGTGAAAAAAATGCGGGGAATCTAGTACTCGATCCGTCGTGTCCTTCCGTCACCGTACCGTGTCCGTACGAGCGTCCTTCGCACGCGATAAGGAATTCCTGTCTCGAGAAAAAAAGTTAATGGACGCACTCGGAACGGTGGCTCGTTTCCAGCAACCGCTTTACGCCTCTTCCCCCTCCCCTCCTCCGTCTTTCTCCACTCGTGCTCCGTGCTCGACTCAACAGATAACGTAGAACATTCCGTTGCGTCAGAGCGGCTACGGGTTAAGGTGTCTGTAATTCTAAAAACCAGATTCCTCTACCAGACCCGTCGTCGCTTTGTCACCCGTGATAGCGATCTGTCCGTGTAGTGTCTCCCGCCACGATGGAATTGGTCGGCCGTTGAATGGTTTCTTGCTTACTTATCGTAAAATTGGAAAACGTGGACGGCAGGGAGGGGTGTAGTAGGAGGATCTATTTCTATCTCACGACTGAAATAGTCCCGATCGCCGACCAAGCGTCGGTGGGTGTGCGTTTAGCTGGTGTTTCCAATGGTAATTGCTCGATACTCGAAGGGGAGGCGAAGGGAGCGATGCATCCTCACTCCTACGCCGTTCAATCGAATGACGTCAATCTTTCGATTACCTAAACTCGGGGAGAGGAGGGAGAGTGATTCGTTCGCCTTTGAGCAGAAGCTCCAAAGTTTATTATTATCGTCGAATATTCCGACCGATTGAAGCTGGATCGTCACGCTGGACGAAAGGTTTAAATTAACACTTTTTTCGGAAGGTTTAAATTAAATTCACGATCGATGCATTCGATTAAACGCGTAATCGTAAACGTGCGTTAAGGAAGTAAAGGGAATAGCTTACTCGTAGATAAAGGATCGACGTAGGGCGAAATCGGTTTGGATTCCCAGTTTTGGAAGCTAATTTCTTTCTATGTTGGTTCCAGGCGAGCTATACGTGGAGGACCTAGGCGAGAGGCGGATCGTTTCCATCAGAATGGGATGGCTTTGGGTCGAGGGTACCCCGATGAGGCTTCCATTGAGGGCGTTGAACCTACGCCAAGCAGCACCCACTGTGTGTCAACCGCACGCACTGGCTCTTGGGTTCACGTTGAGCAACTCGCAGGATCAGATGCTCGCTACTTTTTGGGTAATTTATAATTTATTTTCGGCCGTGGAGGATTAAGGAGGAGAAATGTCGTGGAGCGAGAGGAAGTGGAGAGGTATTTTTGTCGGTAAACGTAACTCGAAGAAAAACGATATCAGAGACACGGGGAAGAAGGAAAAGCTGAGTGGATAGGCGAGAGATAGAGCGATCAGCGTAGAACACGCGACGTAATTGCATGTAAATGGCCTTTATCCGCGGCGCGATCCGTTTCCTTGCCCGCAAACACTTTCTCGCTTTGGTCGGGGAGCTCCTGTTTTGCTAAAACGCAATTTCTAATTGCGCTCCTTCAACTGCTTCGATTTCTATAGCGTAGTTATATAATCCTGCTGCGTTTTCGCGTTGCTGCGTTCTTTACAACAATTTCGATCCGCTTCGATCTTTCCTCTCTCTGAAATTCGGATTGAAACGATCTTATTTGAAAATTCTTCAAAGTCGATAAGAAGACGTAAAACAATAACTTCGATTTCCATTCGATTGCTTTTTCTCTAAAATTTGGATTCAGATGAAAAAGATCTAAAAATTCTTCAAAGTTGATAAGAACACGCTGACGTTTACAATAACTTTGATTGCTTTTTTTCTGAAATTTGGGTTCAAACGATTCGATTATTCAAGGTCGCGGCAGATGACTTTCGATTGTTTTTTCTCTGGAATTTGGATCCAATCCGAGAATTTTTCAAGATCCATGAATAAGAAGACGCGGCAGATGACATTTACAATAACTTTGATTGCTTTTTCTCTGAAAATTGGATTCAGACGATCCAATCCAAAATTCAAAGTCAATAAAAAGGTGCTGCAGATGACGTTTACAATAACTTCGATTGCTTTTTCTCTGAAATTTGAATTCAAATGAGACGATCCAAAAATCCAAGAATTCTCCAAAAGTTCTTCAAAGATAAGAAAACGCGGCACGTGACGTTTACAATATCTTCGATTGCTTTTTCTCTGAAATTTGGATTCAGACGATTCGATTCGAAAATTCTTCAAGATCGATAGGAAAACGCGGTAGATAACTTTCGATTACTTTTTCTCTGGAATTTGAATTCAAATGAGGCGATCCAAAAATCTAAGAATTCTCCAAAAGTTCTTCAAAGATAAAAAGATGCGGCAGGTGACGTTTATAATACCTTCGATTGCTTTTTCTCTGGAATTTGGACTCAAATGAGATCCAAAAATCCAAGAATTCTCCAAAAGTTCTTCAAAGATAAGAAGACGCGGCACGTGACGTTTACAATACCTTCGATTGCTGCTTTTTCTCTGAAATTTGGATTCAGACGATTCGATTCGAAAATTCTTCAAGATCGATAGGAAAACGCGATAGATGACTTTCGATTGTTTTTTCTCTGAAATTTGGACCCAAATGAGACGATCCAAAAATCCAAGAATTCTCCAAAATTTCTTCAAAGATAAAAAGACGCGGCACGTGACGTTTACAATACCTTCGATTGCTTTTTCTCTGAAATTTGGATTCAGACGATCCTATTTGAAAATTCTTCAAAATCGATAAGAACACGCTGCAAGTGACCTTTACAATACCTTCGATTGCTTTTTCTCTGAAATTTGGACAATTTTCAATTGGAAAATTCTTCGAGATCGGCTTCGTCCCGTTCGAATCTTTGCCCTCTCCGAAATTCCGTATTCACCTCCAGACGATCCACGGAATTTCTTCGAGGTCGATGGATAATAAGGAGAGGATGCGGCACTCGTGACGTAACTCGTGATCCGTCGAAGGATTAATAAGGTCAGTAGGCAAGGTCAAAATCCGCCGCCGCGATCGCGGCGATAAGGGGACGCGTGGGAGATCCAAGCGCCATTCTCCCATGACCCGCCATTGTCAAGGAGTCCCACACCATCCTCCACACCTTTCCCGAGTTCCTTCGCCTCGTTGCCTTACTCGAAGGACGTTCCAGGGGTCGTTCGGCGGCCGCTCTCTTCTTCGCGGACAAATGCCGAATTGCCATTCCAGGACCTCGACCATCGCGGCGCAATTGACTCTGATCGGCACCCGGATCCCTACCTCTTCCAATAAGTGACAATTTAAAACTTGAATCGCTCGAACGAACGCGCGAATGTAACGTAATGTCGTTAACGAGATTGCTAAAAGTATCGTTATACGGATACAGGCATATAGCTGGTTGGATTAACCCTTTGCACTCCAGGCCTGTTTCGCTCGGTCGCAACTCCAGACTCAGACTCGCGCGTTCGGTGGTCTCATAAGATTGCCATAAGATAAGATTACACCTCATAAGATTATACGTAAAGAGTTTAGGAATCTACTCATGAAGCGATATTCCAAAAAAACATAAATAAATATTATCGCCGTACAAGTTGCCGGAACAATCCCAGCGATGGCAGAGAGTCACCGCTGGAGTTACAGCATTATCTCACTGTTGGAGGGCAAAGGGTTAAGTTTGGAATAAGGAATAAACGAAAGAGAGGGAGAGGATGTTGCTAAGAGAGACGTATTCTTTTGTTACACAGGCAGATTCGGAGGCCATCTATTGGTCGTGGGTGAGAGCGATCGCGGCAGAGTTGGTGAGGCAAACGCCGTTTCGCGCTCAGAGGTGTTTGAACTTTCTCGAGATCCTGACCATTTGTCCAAGGGGGCCCGTCCCTCTTCCGGACAGCCCCACCGAATCGAGGAGACGTTCGAGGAGCGAGTTACGCTGTTGGCCGAGCGACTCCCCCACGGAGAAAAGTTCGAGGAGCGCGACAACGATCCTGGAGGAGTCGAGGAGAAGAGCGAGAAGCGAGTTGAGGGGTTGGTCCAGCAGCAATTCGAGCGACGAGGACCTCCTCGGCGACTTTCGAAGCATACCAGCGATAATAAGCAAGGAGCAGCCGATGAGCCGAACGTGGGGTTGCAGCGAGAGCAGCGAGGGAAGCGACGACAGCCTTCCTTGGAGCGGGGTGTGCCGTTCGAGCGTGGACCCGGCCGTCTCCCTTCCCGAGCCCGAGACCAGAGAGCAGAGGATTCAAAGGTACAAAGAGGCGAGGAGGCGAGAGAACGAGGCCAGAAGCAGAAGGGTCCTCGAGGAGGACGCGAGGAGGCGGAAAGCACGAGCCGAGGAGAACAACAACGACATCCTGAAGACGTACGGGTGTTCGAGCAGATCGAGCAGGAATAGGTTCTACGACTCTACGAACGACAACGACAATTACTGTTTCACGAGGAAGGAGAACGAGGAGCACGCCAGATTGAAAAACGAGAGGAATATAGGCAGGTTACCACCCGTGAAACCGAACGAGTCACCGTTGGTCAGATTCGAGGAGGATCGTCGGAACGAGGATGACAAAAGGAACAACAACACCGCCAGGAATGGGGGCACCAGTCCTGGGATACTGAGGGCGGACACGAGCGAGAGGAGAAGCCGCGCCAGGGAGAGGAGAAGCGCGAGGGAGAAGAGCCAGTTGTCCCAAACGACGCAGCAATTTACCAACACCACGGTGTTGGAAACGCTCCAGGAGCGCAAGGAACGACTGGCCCAATTGTCCTCCAGAATCCCGGTGCCCCGCCAACTGTTACACGTCTCGAAATCGATGGAGAATTGGAGCTCGAGCTCGGGCGTGGCCAGAACGCCGTCCACCTCGCTCTCGATCCTCGCCGAGCCACCTTGCGAGGAGGACGTGGCCAGACTTTTGGAACGGTGTCAAAGGGTGGACCATTACGTGCCTGTGCGGGAGAAACTGACGTTGTTCGAGTCGTTGTCGAGGCTGGGCGGCCGGTTGGCCAGGAGCACCGAGGATCTCGGTCGAACGTCTTCGAAGCCGAGCCCCAGGGGGAAGCAACGCGCCAGATCTCTTCACGATCTGAACAGGGGAGCGAGGGCCGTCCCCGTAAGAGAGATGTGCCGATTCTTCGAAGGGGACGTGGAGCAGGATACGAGTCAGAAATCTTCCCTGGCGAAAACGAGGTTTAGCGATCCCGTGACACCGACCAGGACCGCGTGGAAGGATCCAGCGGCGAGTTCGAAGGGCAGCAACGAGCCCGCGCCTTGCATCAGGTCGTCGACCAGAAAGAAACATTATTTGAAATAATCGTCGCCTCCCTTTCGCGAATCGACACTCCTCTTCGGAGCCTTCTCGATCCGGGCTCTCTCTGCGAATCCTCTATAATAATACAATAAGTAGCGAAAGCGGGTCTTTCCCAAAAATCGGCGCGCTCCGATCGATGAAAGAAAAAACGCGTCGGAATTGCTTCCTCGCGATTTCTGAAGATTCTTTTTTTCGATGTAATAGCAAAGAACAGAAGTCGTTTTAGAAAGGATCGATATCGATTTAGACGCGAATTCCGCTCGTCGCACGATGGATCCGTCACACTCGCGTCGAGAGAAAGTCGCTGCCTGGAGCGGTATTTTTTTTTTTTTTTTGCTCTCCGGGATTGTGCTCGATTCGAGGCCTCGAATCGAGGGAGTGTGCATCCCTCGTGACGCGATGCGCGCGCGAACGAAGGACGACGAACAGGAAGAGATTCGACGTTTTTTTATATCAATCCGTTTCGTCGATTTTTCCTTATTTATTTGTATTTTCGTTTCGTTTTTTTTTTTTTTTTTTTTTTTCGTACGAGATTCCTCGTCGAGTCCACGAGAGCGTGTTCGAACGAACGTGATTCGACGTCACGAAATAAAGAGTGCGTCGAATCGAGAGACGAAGAGAAAGAGAGAGAAAGAGAAAAGAGAGGGAATAGGAGAAACCGGTAATTTCCATTCACCGAACGACTGTCACACACCGAACACCTGTCGAATGCAACCCGAAGGCGATCTTCGATTTCTCGATTATATACCCCGACCGACTCGTGGAATCGTCAATAACCGAGGGAACGAGGAAAAAAAAGAAAAAAAAAAAAAAAGAAAAAAAAAAGAAAAAAAAAGGAAAAAAGAAAGAAAAAAATAGAGAGACCGAACAATTCACGTGAATCGATTCCGAGGAGCTAGACACGCATCGAATGAAATAAAACGTTAAGTCGTAAGCGTTATTCTGCTATAAAAGTTGCAATCGTATTATCTGTTATATAAATAGTTGTTAACGAAGACGTTAGAAGTTTTCTAAATGCCTGGAGGCAATTAGAGATTCGTTTTGTACATAAATTATTATCCTTCTTTTTTTTTTTTCTTCTTTTTTTTTTTTTTTTTTCACGCGTACCTGAATCCGAGAAACAAGACGGGGAAAAAAAAAGTGGCGTTTAATAATTCGCTCGCGTTGTAAATAATTTATCTCGTAGTTAAAAATGGCCGGGAGAACGGTAGCCGAAGCCTATCGGTCGGATCTCGAACATCCGTTTCAACGAGCGGCGCATCAACTGCTAATGTCGACTTCCGTTTTGCTCTTCCAGTCGGGACGAACATCTCCATCCCTGTTTCTCCCCTGCTCTCTTTCTCTCTCGTCCTTCTTTTTCTCTTCGAGTTCAATTAGATCATGCGAACCCTGAACAATCGTGGCTCCTTTTTTTTTTTTTTTTTTTCTTTATCCGTACCGATAATCGCGTTAAAGGCCAGACGGAAAAAAAAAAAAAAAGATAAGAAGAAGGATGACTTTTAACGACACGATGACGATGCGAATATTTTTCGAAGAGCGGAAGAGGCGGCTGCTCCTATCACGATCTATCGATTATTATTATTTTTATTATTATTATTATTATTATTATTATTATTATTATTATTATTATTATTATTATTATTATTATTATTATTCGGCGAGTCGAATCATTTATTATTACGAGGGGATTAATTAGGAACGCTGAATAACCAAGTGCCAAATGAAATGAAAAAGGTAAAAAAAAGAAAAAAGAAAAAAGAAAAAAAAACAGGTATATCACGTTACTTTTCTCGAGAAACGCGTGAAAATGCATAGAATACACACGTGGTTGAAATTTGTAAATACTTCGTTCGTACGTATAGGATTAAGAGAGATTGATTATAATTTTTCTGTTCCGTGTTTCGTGTCTTTCGGTTATTTGAGATCGCGGGAAAGTTACGTAAGAGTTACCTTTCCCGCGATCTACGAAACGATTATTTATTTACATATGTGTATAAGAAAAGATAAAAAAATATATATGATTATTAAGATTACGTTACGTTAGTAAATTGGTTCTGTGAGAATCGTTCGACTGATCTTGAAAAGTGTCTCGGCGACAATTTTTACACGGTATCGTGAATCGTATGCGTTTAGACACAAAGTAGCATTTTTCGTAGCAATCGTTAGAGATCGACTTCCCCTTATTTTCGTATCTTCGCCGAAGAGGTAAAGCCGAAGGAAACCGTGTACGACAATGTGTGACAATGTACTACGGATCAGTGTGCTTCGCGTAAAAGAAATCTGTAAGCCGATGAAAGTATATTGGATAAATACGTGTGTACGTCGATTCGACAACGGGAAAAAAGAAAAAAAAGAAAAAAATTTAATTTAAACACCGATGGCGAGGATGATCGAGCCTTGTGGCGAAAAAAAAGAAAAAAATTCCAAAATTTCTAGCCATTCAACTAGCAAATTTCATCGAACAAATTTTTCTCTTCTCTCTGATAACCAACAATTTTTCCAATTTTTCTCTTTCTCCCAAACAATTCGATTTCCGAGTAAAGAATGTTCTTTCCGAAAAAAAAAAAAAAAAAAAAAAAGAGAGAGAAATGCATAAAAATAAGAAATATAACGCACGTAACGATGAATGGAGAGATTACGTCTATCCCTACATAGGAGAGCCCAGTTAAAAAAACAACTTTGCAGCAAAGCTCGATCCTCTTCGCTTGCGACGAAGCGAGCCGACGACCGTGTTAAGGGTGAACGGTAGCAACCCCTTTGCTGCCCGGATGTCTTATCTCAGCGCTCTTTCATTGGCGCAATAAAAGAAAGGCCCGCGGCACATTATGCACATTCGAGAGGAAACACGTGCAGGCCTGCACCGTCTGTAAAAATGTAGCAATTCGAATCCGGGTAGGGTGAACGTGAGAAGTCATCCAGAGAGTGGTACAAGGGGTTGTTGCCGGAAAAAATGGAAAAATCTCCCGGGGCCGGACGTTGTTCCGCGAAAACGCGCAGCCTGTAAAACCGGTCGATCGCCAAAGAGTCCTCTAGTCCCCTGGTCGGATATAAATCCGAATAGGCTGTACGTGTGTCCCCCTCCCCACCCCATCCCACCCCTCCTGTACCGGGGCTGCGTATAACAGAACCCTCCTCCCCGAAAGAGATCATCGATCCCTGCAATACCATGGTGAATCCTATCGTGAAGTATTCGTGTCCTAAATAATATCGCTAATAACAATATATATATATGTATGTATAGAGAGAGAAAGAAAGAGAGAGAGAGAGAGAGAGAGAGAGAGAGAGAGAGAGAGAGAGAGAGAGAGAGAAAACTTACTCGGCAGATTTGTATGTTACGTTTGTTGTAATAAAAATGGACGAATAATGGCCGTTACATAAAAGTGATTGTCGTTAGAAAGTGGAAAAGGGGAAGAAGGCCTTGGCACTTCTCCTGTTGCGCTCCATCGCAGCATTTTGCTTCTCGTTCTCTTCCCCCTTACTCGCGCTCTCCTTTACACGCTCTCCTTTGCTATTATTTTTTTTTTTCCGCTCTCCCCCCCTCTTCTTTTTTCTCTCTACCACAGCCACCCGCACGATTTTCCTTTTTCCTCGGCCCGCCAATAATTATCCCCCGCGTTTTTTCCCGTCCGAGATCCGAGATTGCCACCAGGTTTCGCGAGGGGAAGGGGACGTTTGAGAGGAGATGAGTTTAAATTGCATTGCTTGTGCAATGCACCCCCCACCACCACCGTCGTCGCGAAATTATCCTATCCCCCTTTTTCGAGAAGCAGAGAAGCTCGAAGAAGGAACGACTCGAAGCACGTCGGAAACGTGGTGCGTAGGAGGGAGGAAAGGTAGGGAGAGAAGAGTGTGCGAAGAGGTCGAAGATTGAAAAGGCGCGCGGACGGATGATCGTCGATGAAACCGAGTTAATTTGCAGGGCGGCTCGAAGGACGCCGGTTTTTCCGTCCGCCACTGCCACTATTTAACTCTCTCGTTTATTTGGTTTACTCGTACGTGAACTCGTTCCTGCCCGTTTTACAGGACCGCCCACTTTACGTTCCCGTGTAATTTTCATTCCACTCGCACTCGTACTTTCGCACACGCGCCACCGCGAAAAAGATATAGAATATTCCTGGGAGGGGGGAGGGGGAGAATCGAGCAGCGGATAATTTATTTGCCGGCTTTAATGAAGTCAAATGTTGCGATAAATTTAACGATGTCGTTAACCGGGGTATCTGAACACGGACACGACTCCTCCAAGTTTTCGCGTACCGTTTGCGCGGTGTACATACGCGCGACCATAACTGATAATCCACGACAAGCTGGACGGTGGGAAGGATTTAGGGATACACCGACGAGAAATAGGGTAACGCAATCGGTCACTCGGGGATCGGCTCTTATCGCAATTTGTATTTTTTTCACGTCGGATCTCGCGGGCAACTCGATGCATATGCATACGCCCAAGGCACACCTGCGCTCCGTGCAATTTGTCTCCTTGATAAGGTGCTCATGTTCCCGTTGTTAATCAGTGGTGCACGATCGCGCCACGTCCTCCTCCCAGCTCCCCGCGAGAGAGGTTCGACAACAATTTTTTTTTTTTTTTTTTTTCCTCTCCCCTTATCCCCCGTCGTAGTAAAATCGTTGCCTCCCACGCGAAATCAGTCCAAGTTCGAATGAAAAATCGATGGAAGGCGCGGGGTCGTTGACCATTTACCGGGTTTCGTGCTAGCGTGAAGGATTTTTTTCAGGGGCACCGACTCTTTTCTTTTCCTTTTTTTTCTTTTTTTTTTTTTTCGAACGAGTTATCGAACGAGCAAGCAAGCACGCTCCCGTCGGTGGAGCGAATGAAGAAAATAGCCGACGTGAACTAATGTCGAGCGGCCATGATTACGAGTTGTTGAGGAAGGCTCGTGTTGTCCCATCGATTTCACGTGGAAGAAAACGTGGTGGTGATCTAGCGACTGGCCACGATGATGGAGTTGGCCAACGTAAAAGCGAATCAGGTACGCGAAGGTAGCAGCGCTCCGCGAACACGAATCTCGTAATCCTGATCTATTAGTAGATAGTTAGCCGCTGGCATTTTCGAATGCACCACAAATCCCCTGCCGCGACGCTATTTACTCGTTATTCATCTGATTGGAAAGAGAGTTGAAGATTGAAATCCTCCTTGGAGATCTCTCGGTTTTCCAGCGTGAATACTATTTTTATCTCGCTGTATCGAAGGATTATTGGCAATTTTTGATCATTCGACTCATTCGATCGAAAAGACGATTTAACTTGATTCAATATTTTAGCGAGGACGTCGAATAGTGGCGGTTCGTTAGGATGAAAATAACGTTTGTAATCATTGGAAGAGATTAAAAAAAAAAAAGTTGTTGGATTTTTAATCGTGGATGGAAATCGAAAGCTATTTGATTGCTCGCCAAGGTCTCGAGATTACAATATTTATCGCTGTAGCGATTCGCTTATGGTGCACTTGTCGCTTATATGCACTTTGATAAGTGTAACGGTTTCCTCGAGGCATCGTCTATAGTTCGTGTTATATTCGAGTTGTAATGCGATGCCTGATGCACTAGCGGAAACGTTACATTTTTCTTTTTTTTTTTTTCCTTTTCTTTTCTTTTCTTTTACAAGCTATGTAGATTTTATCAACCGAGCTTGGAGAAACTAGGAAAAAGAAGGCAAGACGCCATCTACCGCAAAGTGAAGAACGATTTTTCGACGTATTGTTGAGCGATGTACGTGTAGAACGTGTATCTGATCTGATTAGTAGAATAGGAAACATGTCTAGACACGAGCTTATACCAACAGGTATTTATTACATTTTTTTTTTTATCAATTTCTTTTCGTTTTTTATTGTCATAAAAATAGATATAAAAATGATAATTCGTACTAATTATAAATACGTATATGAATTTGTAATTCAGCAATTTGAATACTTCGTAATTTTTTAAATCTCCTATTCAGATTTTTTTTTTTATTCTCTTTCTTTCGATTATGTAACTCCAAAAGATCACGCATAAAATCACAACGATTCAAGAATATCCTTAAATGTCACTCGAGTCAACTAATTAAATGAATAATCGACATGCATATTTACTTCCCGATAAGGATCGAGTCCATAAAATCACAGAGACGAAAGTGGAACATATGGAATCCAATACTTATTAGTATCGCGGAGGAGCATATCGAGACCTCGGCCGACGATAATAGAAATTAATAATAGATTTTATTCGCACGGCCGGTATTTACACGACAATATTCTGTATTCAGCGAACGGCAGAACAGAGAAGATCATGAAACCGAGAGGAGAGAAAGGGAAAGAGAGGCCTATTAAGAATATCTGGCGGATCCATAGGCGCGCCTCGATCAAGTTAAGTCCCATGCGTGGCCGCGTTCAGTACGCGACGAGACATCTCTCGGTGTGGTTCTCGCAACTAAATTCAACCGATTCAGCAACGTCGGGGCATCCGTCAACGTTGTTTTCTTCTTCTCGAGTTTGGTGCGCGAAAACGATCGACAGTTTTGTCATTTGGTGAAAAAAATCAGTGCAATTTAGAAAAGAGGAAAGAAGGGGAATCGATCGCGATGAACGAGATGGATCTGCAATTGGCCAGGGCGATGGTGGATCTCGAGTTGGAGGAAAATACACCGAAAAAAACTGCCATCACAAAAATGCACGATAAACAGCAAACGTTCAGGTATGCTTGTTAATAACTCGTTTTATCGTTTAAATCGTTTATCGAAACACGAATGACACATTTTATCGATCTAATGGTGTCGATCGATTGGAAAAAGGATCGATAGATCGTTTCGAACGTATCTCGTTGGATACCTCGATTCTAGTTATGGAATTTCATTTGAATTCCAACGATCATGCGCGTACGCGCGACTTTACCTTCGATATCATAGTGATAGTGTCGTTGCCGCGTGTATAATTAATAGAAACGAGTGTCTGAAAATAAATTGGCATCGTATCCCATTGGTCGGTCGAGTCTGCGGGAGATTCGCGTTAAGAATAAAAAGACATGCTCATTGATCGTGAGACACGGCGGCGAGTGTGACCGTGACATCTATACACGCGAAATTTCTTTGAAGTTGGTATAAAAGTCAAGGACACAGGAAATTCGAACTTGTGCGATATCGATTAGTTTGCATTAGGTCACGATGCGTTGTTGAGTGCAATCCCAAGGTGCGATGGTGGTGTAATGGTGAGCATAGTTGCCTTCCAAGCAATTGATCCGGGTTCGATTCCCGGCCATCGCACTTGGACATTATTTTTTTTATTTTTCGTTTAAACATCATATCTACGTAAATGCAATATTATAGAAATCTCGAAAATTCGTTTAAATTCTATTTCTATTTTAAATAATATTAACTTTATTTAAATATTATTAGGATTGCATCTGTACACACAGGCCTAGATCGAAACCCTTCACTGAAATGAATTGTGCGATCTAGGCCAAGGTTGAAATTGGACCTTCCCATTCTTATTTGGAACAACGTTCTCTTTTTGGTACATATTGTACCAATAGAAAGATACAAGCGCTAAATGTATATCTCTTGACGCATCGTGATCTCAAAAGATAGAATCACCATATCAGTGTGAAATATAATTTATATAATTTTAATCGATGTTTACTTATTTTAATTAATGATCGATCTCTAAATTGAATACACTGTTATTAAATGCCGAAAGATCTTATTTTAATCTGTAAGTAAAAAATTTCCGACAATGAAAGACGAAGAAAATTTCTTTAATGATAGTTTTAAAATTAACGATTTAAAAATTTCTTTTACTTTTAATCATTCGTTTATTATTCATTTATTATTCTTAAATAATTAATTTGTCTATTTGTCAATTAATGTCAAAAATTTTTTATCGAATCATATAGTTGTCATATTTATGAATGTAATTTATACGCCACGTGACTAATTCTATTCTTCATTGGTATTTAACCCCTTTTGTTTCTCTTGAAGCAACACGCGGTGCGAGTTAACAGTCGATTACACGGAGGCACTGGAACCGCGAAGGTAACGCAGTTTTCTACTTTTTATTCTTCTCCTTGCAACTAGCGCCACCAGCATGACCAAAAAATTTTATCTTGTTTTACGTATTTGCATTTGTAATATTTTCGTTTTTTTTCTTTTGTTGCATCGCATTCATTCCTTTTCTTTTTTTTTTTTTTGCGAAAAACTTGTTCCTGAAATTTATCTTGGCGTAACGTCAATCTTTTGTTATGCATGATCGTGATTGTATCATGGTACATTTTTTTTTTATCAATTAGTTCTAAATCAATTGTATATTAATCTACATAATATTTGTTGTGATTTTATAAAGTTATAAAGTTTATTGAATTGTTAATGATGTTTGTTTTTCTAAGCATGATTTTATATGTCATTAAATATTATATACCATGAATAGCTTTTCATAACTAGTCAACAGGGCGTGTGTATGTGTAAAAACAAAACTAGCTTTCCAATATGTTGCAAATTAACCTTGAGCCATAGAAAGAACTTTCTCGCGGTGCAATTGACACACGCTGGTTCTCCAACCGTTCGAAAACAAGTTACTCCTGTTGGGTCAGAAAAGTTAGCTCGATTCACGCATGTTTCGATTATGACGACCGGCAGGACGACTTGACTGGTCTAAAGATCGCTTCTTTATAATATATTTCTCTATATATATATATCTAAAGATCAATTCTTTATAATTGAAATAACTATCGAACAAATAGGTACGATAATAATCAAGATAAAAAGTTTCATTTTTTAATCCCAAATGACTAACGCTTAATTAATATTTGTGAATCATATTCGAATATTATTTAATCATATTCCAAACATTCCTTTAAAAGAAAGGTTATAAAATCCTGTAAAAATTTTATAAAATATAATCGAGATGATATGTCCTCCTCGTTGAAAAAAATTATTCGAGAAATATCGATAATTTTCATATAATTTATCCAATTGGTTCGTCTATGACACTTGGAATTCAACCATTATTTTCAAGATCATAATGTCATTGTCGTCATCCGGCAATAATAATTCGCCGTTTCTATCTACGGAATGACTGAGCGAAATAGTTTGCATTGTTGTCAATACATGAATGTCGAGAATTTCCTTTTATGTATATAATAATTATACAATAATTAGAAGTCATTTGGTAGATAAATGCTTTGTAGAACAAATCATCCATCATTCGCAATAATTATTTGCGATAAATATAATAATGCGTAATATCAATTGTTATTCACCAAGTTATTTGATACGACATTGATGATTAAATTTAAATTCGCTAAAGATACAAAAATGATATCACGTTTCTTCAAGATTTTGCAAAAATTTACTTACACTTACTGCTGACAATGATTTCGATATCTATTTATATAACCATTGCGCATCAACTACGAAAAATTAGAACAGAAGAATCGAACTACGCGTTCATTTGATAAGGTATCTTATCCGATTAGAAACTCGATTCATTCGTGCACTAGATAAGAATAAAAAAAAATAATTTTACGATACTTAGTATTTCTCATAATAGTGAGAAATTACGTTTCGCTCCGACGCAACACAATCGAAAACTGTGATAGAAAAAGAAATTATGATTAATTGGAAGTTGTTTTGAAATACAATCACGTGCCTTATTTGTGGTAGTATGATAACGGAATAGATTAATGAAAGTATTTAAAATCTCAATCCGTAGATCAATCAATCACGATGGGGCAAAGCACGCGAGAAATCTTTTTTGTACGCTGGGTTATCGCTAAGGTTCCTCTTTATCGTTGAATATTTTTTATTTACTTTTTCTTTCCTTTCTCCGACGACGCATCGTTTGCCATTCGAGTGTATTTTATTAAATCGTTTCAGTATAGTGGTACCCGGTATATAGTGATGCAACGTGGTGGAAGTATACTGAGTAGGGCGGTTTTGCTCAAACGACATTCAAGCATCGATAAAATTATCAGGTATAGTATAACCGTTATCGGTGATCCGTTAATCTTCTTCCAAGATAATTTCGGATAAAAAAAATTCGATGAGAAATTTGTTACGATAAAGGATCGAAATAAATATTTAATCGATAGAAGTTTAATCCGAGTAAAAGTAAAAAATAATTTTAAAAATTATTCTATTTTTTTTTTTTTTAATGTTACTCGATGTAAATATATATATATATAATTAAATGTTACAGAGTAAATGTGAAATAGAAAATATTAAATATAATTTCCTATTTTTTTTTTTTATATTTAAATAAAATTATATTTAAATTAAATTATATTTAAATAAAATTTTTATCAATAGATTTCAGTGAAAATGAAGGGAGAAAAATTAATAAACTACTTTGACAATTGTACTTTCATAGGAAATATTTTTCTAGAATGAAAAAAATAAACTTGCACTGCCCGGGAATCGAACCCGGGTCGCAAGAATGGGAATCTTGCATGATACCACTACACCAGCAGTGCTACTTGCAAATAGAATGTTACTTTCATAAAGATATGGTTCGTACAATTTTAAATTCTACGACGTTATTGCAATTAAAAAAGCGACGATTGTAAAATTAATATATTTAAATTAACGATAATAAATTAAATATTTCGTATCTTCGAAAATTTTTCACATCGATACAGGATATGAAAATTCAACGAATTTTTACATTTATAAGATATTATAAAATACTATATGCAAATAGAAATCTGATTAATTGTTTCGAAGATAAGTATACAGATCATTATACCACAATCGTATCCCAAACCGATCCATTCTCGTCCGTCCACCGATCCATTTTCTTTGACACAGTTTCCTTCAACCACAACCGATGCCATTCGTTACATTTGTATAATTTTCCACTTTCCTGCTCGTCGCGAGCAATTTAACAGGAAAAAAACGTGATGTTCACGAGAACATCCGTCTCCGTTCTTTAAAGCACGTTTTCTAGAAGGACGTAACCTCATTGTTAACCGCAATATTGTCCTCAAAACACCAGGTTCTGTTCGCGAGAAAGTATCTCATTTCGTAAAATGCATAAAATAATAATTGTTGTTCGACTGTTTCCATTTCCCGTGGAAAGTGTTCCGTTATATGTATCATGTATCATATGTAAGTTGCTCTATTCAACAAAAAACTAGCTAAAATTATTAACGATTTCCGCACAACGGAGCATAAATTATAGCGCTCACGAGTTCACAACAAAATTCAAAATGTTCCATCTTGTAATGATCATAATCCTATCTGTCTTAATGTATATCGTATATATACTTAAAGCCGCAAACTTTCCAGATAAACGTCGTAGGTGGGGAGAAAGTTGTGTCCAATCCTGAAAATAGCGAAAAGTCGGAGGCGTTCTTCTTACCCTCGTTCCGAAATACAACTGTATTCCATGCGTCAGTGCATCGTCGATCGTCGATAATTAGAATCTTACTTACGTTACTCCATTGTATAGATATCGTATCATTCAGTAATCACGGCAATGATATAACATAGTAAAAGAGAAAACACGACAATCCTCAAAAAAAAAAAAAAAAAAAAAAAAAGAAAAAAAAATGGCAACAATCTTCAAGTATGTATTCACACTGATGTGGTAAACATTGTGAAATAATTACGGCAGTGACAAGAACAATTACGGAGACAAGACAAAGCTTTATCCGTACAATCTTGTTTCTGAATTGTCGAGGCAAGGAAAAAAATAGTTAAATATTTATAGTTGAATAAGGAGGAAAAAACGGCGAAGATAATTCGCTACGTTCTTAGCGAGGCATCAGTTTGTTCGCGGGACACATCGGTCTGCTTCTCGTCTCATCGGTTTTGCAACGCGAGTACAGGCGGCCGCAATAAATTTTGATCACTTTCATACCATAATTGCATTACACGCAACTGGTTTACAGTTATGCCTTACGACCCGTTTGTTATATATACTTCTCGTAGAATGTATCCACTGTTTTATTATGCAATCGAAGAGGCGTCGAGTGGAGGCACCTCGTATTCGCGAGAAATATTTTCTTCGCGATTGAGGCGAGCTTAATATTTCAACCGACGCGAAACCGTTCGACACGATATATAACAGAGTTCAACAGCGTACGGCAACGAAGTCGACGGCCGGAAGTCGACCGCGGTTTTATCAAGATGTAACGTTTCTGCGAGAACGATCGAGGAAAAAAGAATTAACATGAGAAGAAAAGAAATTCAATTCTCGAGGCTGCCTGCCTTTCTTTCCCTCGACTTTCCTATCGAGAAGTAAGCAGAAGGAAATGGAGAACGAGTCGTTAGGATGAACGAAAAGTCAAATATTTGTTTAGATCCCGGAAAGAAGAAATATGGATGAAATATGGGTCGAGTTCACCACATGATTGAACAATTACGAGCGCAAAACATCTCTTTCTTTAAATGAATCAATTAATCGTTCGTTCGCCTTTCATTGTCGCTTTCACCGATTAGCGACTAGCCTCATTTAGAATGGAGACAATCATGAGAGCAATCTTCTTTTTTCTGAAGCACTTTTTTTTTCTCTCGAGGAAAAGGCACGAAGAGAAAAAAGGAAATCGAAATGCACGTGCTGTCTATGGTTGAAAAACATCTCAGAACGTAGACGCAAACAAGCAACAAGTACTTTGCTCTACGAATATAAACTAACTTGAACTCCATAAAAACTTCATTCTTACTTAAAAATATACTACTCGATAATAATACGAATACGCATCATGTTCGCTTCAGTTCACTTCTCTATCGACGTTCGAAAAGTGAAAAATTACATTGGATCTGTTTCAAGGGAAAAAAATTCTCGAATACAAAAATTCTGAGATACAATGCGAGGGAGTGTTTTACGAAGCAGATTGAACACTTTCATTGCAACTTGTTCGATGAACTCTTTTCTTTTTTTATCGTGCATATTCAGATATGTAGTTGGTACAGAATGGGGAGGGGCGCGAGTTAGAAAGCCCTAAGTGCCTTTCAGAGGCTACTGCCGGTAAAGTTGTTGCTCAGTGAACTCTGAGCCGTCGTCCATCGAGGTACGCCCGTCACTATACGTCGTTTCGTTCACCGAACGAGAATTCCGGTACCGAAGCCTCGTTTCTATTCGTCGACGATCGATTTCTATGGAAAGATCACACCTTATGAGGCACCGTGCCGCGTTGTTGCGAGTTCAACTAGTACGAATAACTGGAACGGTCCGAAACGTGCGTAAATATTACTTTACCCGTGACGACACGTTTAAAAGCTAGAATTCTCGGCCTTGTAAGTATGCTTTCTCTTTTAAAAATAGTTGTGTGTAATTTCGCGATTAAATGTACGATCGGCCGACTCGAAGAAGATGATTATGCCGGGCAAGTGATCAATTTCTAATCGCGTACAATATCACGATATTATTTCCAATTTGGAGTTAATTTTATAGGATAATGAGATGGGATGGGAATATTTTAATGAATTGGAATTCTTATGAATATTTCTTATTTCCAGTTACCAGTTTTATCAATTAGCCTTAAGTTAAATATGAACTTATACGAGACGAAAAACTTATCGTTTAAAATTATGAAAAATTATTTATGAAAATTCATAAATTGTGATGAATGCTAAAATAAGCATTCCACTTTTTTGAAAAGATAGATAAGAAATATGTATAATAATAAAACAATATGATAAAACCGGCAATAATTAGTCTCAGTACACCGGAGTTGAAGTCGAAGGAAATCGGGTCATAAGCTCGCGTTAAAATTAATTATTAACGCGAATCGATCGTTTCAATGGAAGTAGACTGTACTAAAAAAAAATTAAATTATCATAACTGAAATAACACATCGTACAAATATTAAAATCACTCTTATTAAAAATTCATATTATGATAGATACACGTACAATTGGAATACAAGTGACAGGTGAGAATTGCATAACATTTCCTAAGTTTTTCATTTGTACATATGCAAGCGATATTGAAATTGTTTTTCCTTTTTTCCATTGAATCAAATAAATTTTACAACAGTGGAATTAACTTTGACGTACGAATTATATAATTATCCTCTGTTGCGCAAACTAAACAAGAAAGAAAGCTGGTGCCTCATAGAGTGTTCGAAAGTACCGCGCGATGATTATACATTGATGTGATTAATATTGAGGATCGTGATTACAGAAATGATCGGAAATTTCTAATTTTTTTTTTTTTTTTTTTTTTTTGTAGATTTCACATGATAAAATAAAAATATCACGATCATCCAAATGAAATTTTAAAAAAGTGTCGAAACGTATGCGTATATTTATCGAATATTCGAAGTATTCGAATACGTGTTGTTTAAAGAGAATAGATAGAATTTCAAATATGTGCAATAAAATGGACGAATCAGCGAAAAGTTGATGAAGTTATTCAAAAAAGGAGATGTTTCACGGATAATGGACATGGTGAGGGAAAAGCCGAGACCTCGAAGTGTGAGCGAAATGCTCGATTGGCGATGTATCGTCAGAAACAAAGGCGACGTAGGTACTGACGACACGTGCGTGAACGTGCCCTTTCTCGAGGACTATGACAAGGATCCGGAAATGCGTCGCCGGAAACGTTCCGGTACTTGGCCGTGAGTAATACGTTTTATAATTCTTTGGAAACTAAGATTGGAAGATGTTGTGTCTACTTCTTGACTTTGATAGTTCAAGAAAAAATAAAATAATTTTAAATGAAAAATATTATCTAACAGAGATAATACATTCTAATACTTAAAATATTAATGAAATGTACAATTTATTTTATATAAATGTTTAATAATGATATCTGACAATCAATCAAATAACGATTGTTTTTAAATAAATTAATAACAATAATTATAGATATCTATCAAATTTGAAAAAATTTTTTAATATGATTTAATGTCTGGGAATTGCCTGTTTCTCAAAGATTTTTAGTCGTAAATTGAATATTTTAACACTACAATTTATACAAAGAAAGAGAATATGATTCAAAAGAAATATTTCGAATTAAATCAATTATAATTAATAACTAATTATTATTATTATTATTTATTTTATATAATTGAAATGAATGAAGCGACAGAATTCACTGGAAACGAAATGAAAAGTAAGCCAAATGTTGTAGCAAAGTTATCACGAAACCAGTATACAGCTGTTCAATTTCGTAATTAAACTGGAATCGCGCGTAATCCGATTCCAATTCGTGCGAAACTTGAGAGAAGCTGTTTGGTTGCTCAACATTCTTGTTACTAAGAGATACATCGAAATCCGTGCACTGACAACTTGTCTTTGGTGCATCATATGCATCGAATATTTTATCAAACAATAATACGTATAATGGTTTCTGTAATTAATAATCAATCTATTATATTCATTAAATATATCATTCAATTTACTATTCAATTGTATACTTTGCTTATGTCAGTTTTACATTGTCGCGTAGATATGTGAGATTGCGTAAAAAAAGTTAAATAAAATCAAGAGAAAATAAATGTAGTACGATATACAAATCGAAAATTGATTGGTCGGCTGTAGTTGCAGAGCATGCGTACCATATATCAGGCGTCGCGACGCCAGCGTCGATCTGTTCATCAACGTATCCCTTTTGCGATTGTTTAGCAACGAAACGTGCTTCCATCTCGATTCGACTCATTCGATATTGTTTTTTGATCGCAAGGTTTACAACGTCGACGAAACAGCGCGACTGTTTCGCAAATCGATGCATATGGACGAAGCTGAATTAAGGTAGGACCAGGTAGGTGTTGGTTAACCTAAATCTCGCGTGGTGGCATGTGCGTATGGCACTATGATAACGGCGTGCATTTAGTGAATACGATGCGTTATTTATATAACTCGAATTAGTGATATATACGTAATAGTGTTTTGTGATTAATTTGTGATTAATTCGTGATAAGTGTTTCAATGCTTGAATATTTTTAATTTTTCATCATGTATATTTTTTTGAGGTTATATCAAAGTTCAAAAAAATTTTATGATATTAGTCTCTATTATGAAATTTATTGTAGATTATGCCAAAATTAAAAGGTTACTTATAGTCTGAATCGCTTTGCAAATTGAAATACTTTTTTGATATGTATGGAGAAAGCAAAGGGAACAGTTTGTCCTAGGTTATGTCGCATGATAACGGATCGATTGAGAAGAATGACATTTAGGCTGTTAATCGTTAAGCGGGTACACATTGCATCTCGCCGTTCGTTTCGTGCACGTGTACAAGGAGATCGGAGTACTCGAATTGTTGATCGGAGTTTGAATTGTGAACGTCTCGATGAGGGAATGTTTTTTTGTTATTCCTTTCTTTGAAACCGAGAACGCGTTCACCTTTCGCCAAGTATACATTCCATTTTACGCGATACATACACTGGCCACCGATGGTCCTATGGGCTCCCATAAGCTATGCTGATAGTGCCCCCATTACAATCGTTGCATTGGAATTTCAGAAATTCACATTCGATGCAATCGATTACCGAACCGAACATAGCCGTAAGCCGATCGTTTTCTCCTTTGGCAAATCAAAGCCATGAAGAGTGCCGACAACGGATTGGGAAAGAAAAGCGAGCATGGTGTTTTGCAAGCTTTCCGTGCAAGGAAATCTGGGCCAGGTTACGATTAGAGATATGCGATTGTCGATGGATAAAAGGATTTAACTCTCTCATGAAAGGATTTGTTTGATATATGTATTTTTTATAGCTTCTCGTTCCCTTCTCGCTTTCTCTCTTTCTTTTTCTTTGTATTTCTCAATCAATCGAGAGAAAGTTGTGTATCGAATAGTTGGTTCGAATGAAACCAAGAAAAAAAGTAATAATTTTGAAAATATTCACAAACAACATAATCATTAACAATGTATATAGATGAATTTTTCAATTGTATTTTATATTTTTCTTAATTTTTTAATGGCTTGTTTTCTAACAAATATTTATCTATTATCGATCGATATTGATAGATCTATCGATATATGTAATAGTAAAGAATCAGAATATAAGATTAAAATCTAATTTAATGATGAGACAATTAGATATAATCTGAAGTATTTTACGTAATTGATGTTAGTGTTGACAAGAACCGTGAAGTTTACGGTGTACCGACGGTTCCGTGGAAAGAATCCCATAATTGTTGGCAACCTTCGGTCTGATCGTCATTCTGTGTATATCTACCTTGCGATCCAGTCCTTTCTAAAACTTGTCGTCTTCGAAATATTTACCGATGTTTTAAACATTATATTTGTGATTAATTCTTCGTCTTATAATTCTAAAAACTTTAATAACAGTGATGTGAATGATTTGTGCGTGTAGAATAGTGAACTTCTTCGAGATCTTTCGAAAAATTAAGAAAGAATGCTGAAATTAACGACGATGGATTTGTTACGACGAAAAAATTAAAATGAATAATACATGAATGATGTTCATTGATCACACATTTTTTCAAGTGGAATATTCGAAGTTGAGTTCAAGGTTGAACAAATTAAAATGTTATTGAAATATTGAATTGAAGCATCTTTGAAATATTTTGTCATTTGTATACAATTCATATTTTTTTGAAACTATCAACTCTATTAAAAATAAAAAAATCAAAGATTATACGAATTAAAATCCAATATTTAATAAATTTTTATTTATTAACAAGCAAAATAAACGGAATAGACAAACAAATGGAAAAAATCGTGATGTATAATGCAAATTAAAGAAAAAAAACATGCAACAAAGGATTACGTGTTTCTGAGAGTAAATCTTATTATTTCTCGGTAGTGTTCGTTCAAAGGACATCGTTAATTTCACATTTACCGGCCTTCAGATTTTAACGACTAGTTCCGTAAAACAAAGAAGCATTTTTACATAATTTTTAGAATCATTATATCCCCAAATAAAATATTTTACTTCGCGACTAAATTTTTGTTACACTTATTTTACACAAATTATCAATAATCTTATTATCAGTAGTATGTCATAAATATTAAATGATATGATATATATAATTACATGTTAATTATGATACGTAAATTTTTTTTCAATAATTACGGTAAAATTGTAGAATGCTATTGTAATGCTAACATATATATATATCGATTATAATTATAAAATATATATTTTAAACATTTAATTATTTTAATATATTTTTATTATATAAATATATATCCAAATCAAGAATAATATAAGAATCGTATAATATTTTAAAAGAAATGGATTCAATTGATTTTATGATTTCGGTCTAGTTCAATAAAAATTTCGTTCTCAGTTCAATAAATATCTTAAAAAATGACGGATCAAGTCTCACCTTTGCTGGATATTCAGACCAATGGCTATCTCGATATCAGATACGATCTGCTTAATCCTTTAGAAAATGGATCGATCATCTTGCCGACGGAAAGTATACCACGGAACAGAGTGCTCAGGTATAATTTTGTTAAGATGAGAATTAGCTTCAATTTTATAATTAATAATAAATTTTTATAATTAATAATAATAATAATAATCATATATAAATAATAAAATTATTTCATTATTTCAAAATGAATCTACTATTTTTTTCTAATTTTTTTGCATCAAAAAGTAAAATAAATTAGTTCAAGTAATTATAATGACTCAGTACATATAATGTAATTAGCATTTTTTTTTTTTGCTAAGTAAATATCTTACGTCAATGTAAGAAAATAAAGATCTGCACGTGAATACGTGCATGTATATATCTTATTATTATTGTATATATGTATATATGTATATACATATACAATATTAGATTTTAATTTTAAAATTAGATTAAAATTTTAAAATTTACCAATTATATTTATCAATAATTTATCGTACATTTTCTAGAAAAATATAATCTATAAAACTTATATATTATCTCATTGATTATACGTATATTTTTTCTTTGATTGTTTGTTGTTATCTATCTTTCAATTCAATGTAAATTAATAAATATATAGTATATTTACGAGTATATAGTAAAATATTATTATTAATTAATTCAACTCAATTAATATTTTCTAACAAATTTTTAAAAAATTTTTTTTTAAACTTATATAATTATATATACATATTTTTGACATAGTTGCAAATGAAGCCATACATTATATTGTCAAATCAATCAAAACAAGTGCATATCGTCCAAAATATTTTTGCTATCACGATGATAAATGGAATTCTTATTTTTTATTATTTATTAAGAAAATACAAAATGAAAGATAAAAAATCATTAAATCTTAATTAATAGAATAATTAGTAGAATTAAATCTTAATTAATAGAATAATTAGTAGAGTTTTCTTACTAATAATTTCAATTGTTTTCGTTTTGTTTACAGGAGAACAAGAAGTTTAAACGCACCTAGTCCGATTCAACAATTTGGGCCATGCGGACGCATCATGAAGAATTCTGCGATGGTGATGTAAGTAATTTTATCTAGCGCCAATGTTTCAAAAAAATTACATTAGATTATTTCAAGGAAAAACAAGTTGTTTCTTTTTTTCATTTTAATTTATGAAATTTGTCCTTCCATATTAAAAATTATACTATGCTATATGTTAATATCTTGACTCAATTATCTGACAATGACTTTTTTAAGCGAATACATGCTTTGTTTTGTCAGTATAAATTAGAAAACGGTTCTAGAAAATCTATTTTCAACGAAATATATTATTAACAACAAATACGAATATAAATTCTTGATATCTTAATTTTTTTTCATAATAATGTGTAAATTATTTTACTATCATATTGGTGATAAAATTACGTAATAAAAAAAATTTACAAGTTACAAGTTCAATGATTTGATTATATCAACTTTATTTTATTGCGTTTTATGCATCTCTATAATATAGAAGTTATTGGTAGCTGTTTCATTAATTTTTATTCAATATATATATTTTTTGATTGATTGTAAGATATAACTAATGATTATTCAACAAATACGATATCAATAAATACGACTTTCGTAATAATTTTTTTTAATGTACTATTTTGAAATGTGAATTAATATTTTATTAAAATTATATATATATAAATTATTAAATGAATCAAAAATTAAAAATATGCAATTAATTGTATTTCATTGCATATACATATATGCAAATGAAAACGTTTCGATTTAACCTTTACACTCATAATAGCGTAAATGCCTAAAGTATTCATCGAGATTTCCTGTTTAATAATTAATATTTATAATAATATCTGATTAGTGTAAGTGAGAATAACGAAAAGACAATTGCATGTGAATTGTGCGTGTCATTTTGAATATTGTGCATATAAAAACTTGTTACGATTCCTCATATGCATATTGTTCGCGCTTGCGCGCCGTCTGATTGTTTACCGTTAAAAAACGTAGCGTCGTGTTCGGTCCACGATCAGTTCGAGCGTGGCTCTCAAACTGGTATCACGTCATGGTTGGAATTATCAGGTATGTTTTTTTATATATTATTCGATCAAAATTAATTTTATTTTCGCGTTTATCGATTCTATATCATGGATGTTTATCACTGATATGAATTTTAACTTTAAAAGAACTTTAAAAGAATTGTTAAATCAAATAAAATTACAATCGAATTTTTAATTCGAAACGATTATTATTTTTTTGCTGAGTAATACATATATTTTTTTCAGTTGTTAAGTATATCCTTAAAAACAAATATCAAGATCTTGATGAAATAATATTTCGGCTGATTTATTTTGTGAAAATAATAAAATTTATTTAACAACATATAAATTTATATTAATATAAATTTAAATTTAAATTAAAGAAAATAAATAATCAAAGTAGTCATCATATAATGTATTCATACATAAAATATTCTCACCTTTGATTCCTGCGACCCTAATTCAATGATAAGCTCTACGATCGATTCTCTTTATATAGAAACGAGTTCAGGTCACTTGCCGAAGTTGGAATTTTTATTAATATTAAATAACTGAATTCATTTCATTTTGAAATAATTACAATATTTTTTTTTATCATAATTATATGCTATGGATATCGACTTTATTAAGCAGCGATAACAGTTTAATTCATCTTTGTATTTCGTCGATCAGGTTGTAAAATACTTCGATATCCCAAAATCCTCGATCTTTTGTCGATATTAAATTTGACTTCATGTCACTTTAAATAACAATGCTCCGTACTAAGATTCATAGAATTCGATTTATGTAATCGTCAATATTTTATCATTAAATTTTAATTTAATTTTGACTTAACAAATTTGATTTTTGCAGGACCATACAAGATCCAGCCTCCCAGAGGTTGACGTGGTACAAGCCACCGCTCACTGTTCTCGTTATCAAAAAAGTCCGGGATTCCTCGGTACTGCCACCATTTGTACAATTAGTTACATGGTTAATAGAAGTAAGTATATATATTTTTTATATTGTCGATACTCACGTATTTATTTTTTATTCATGCTAACGTAAATGATGACGAAAGGAAATATTTCATACATTTTTTTTATCGTTTTAACGTAACATTTCAAATCATTATGCAAATTGTGATTAATGATTAAAATAAAAAAGAAGTATCAAAATTATGTCATAAGCACGATGGCATATATTATTTAGACGGCATTATATCTTCATTCTTGTTTCGCGCAATCATCGTAATCATAAAATATCCATGTATTCTAGTTTCCTTCATTTTATCGAGTTATTTCTATTGATTCGCATTATACATGTCTCGATAGTAATTTTCAATGTCTTATATTTGCAATTCTAATTTTTAATTTTAACTTATTCAGTTGTAGATATATATTAATTTCATTCTTATGCTAATTTTATGCAAGTCATATAATAATATTCATATAAAAACGTTAATTAAATCCAAATCACTCACCAAATATTATATAAGTACTTTGCTCTTTACATTTTTGCAATTCATATATATTTGCATTAATTTTTTTTATACATATAATTTTTTTATACTACATATTCATGATTATATAATTTATTTTTTTTAGGTCTAGATTAATTTTTCTTATTTAAAAAATCAAAGATTATATGCATTAATTTATAATTCGATTAACTTGATTTTTGAAATTTTTCACATAGGAAAAACGGATGGTAGTATTCGTAGAGGCATCTGTCCTGGAAGATCCAGCCTTGGCTAGGGATCTCAGATTTCAAGAGGTTCGAGATAGGCTACAGACTTTCAGAGATGGCACGGATGATTTACAGGTAATTGTTTAAAAAAAATGTTCAATTTTATAGTTTCTAATGTTATTTAATGAATGTAAATAAAAAATATATGTTTACTCAAGGATCGTATTGATTTCATTGTCTGTCTGGGAGGCGATGGAACGCTTCTCTACGCAAGTTTGCTATTCCAGCAATCGGTACCTCCAGTGATGGCATTTCATCTTGGTTCCTTAGGATTCCTCACACCCTTCGAATTCGATAATTTTCAAGAACAAGTAACAAACGTATTAGAAGGTACGTACATTGAAATTTTCCGGCATAGTTTTCTTTACTTAATTTATCTTCAATAATATCTTAATAATTCATCCATTTATCATTGATGTTATAAAAGTATTATGATTTGAAGGAAAAGAGATTAAAGATGCATTAATAATAATATGTATAATTTATTATAAAGTTAGAAGATCAATCATGAGCATCAATACCACCTGCATATGTTATTTCAACATTATTATTATTATTTCAATATATATAAAAAAAAACGAATAAAAAAAATATAAAAAATATAAAAATATAAAAATGGTAGACGACTTATTAAAACCTATTAATCCGACAATCGGGAAAAGGCCGATAAAAACGAAATATAAATTTGATTTGTTTTCTTTATCTTTAGGTCATGCGGCTTTGACCCTGAGGAGTCGACTAAAATGTATCATCATGCGAAAAGGAGAAGAGAACAAGGAGACAAAACCGCCACGAACGGAATTATTGGTGCTGAACGAGGTCGTGGTGGATCGAGGTCCGTCCCCATATCTTTCAAACATCGACCTCTTCATCGATGGTAAACATGTGACCAGTGTACAGGGTGATGGCCTGATCGTAAGCACGCCGACCGGGTCTACGGCGTATGCTGTTGCGGCTGGGGCCAGCATGATTCATCCTTCTGTACCTGCGATCATGATTACACCGATCTGCCCTCACTCTTTGTCCTTCAGGCCGATCGTCGTGCCCGCCGGCGTCGAATTGAAGGTATTTCCGAATTTTTTCCATACGATCTTTTATAGGTGGTGCAGATTTCAATGCGAAACAGATTGAATTTCTGAAAGAAAAAAAAAAAAAGAAAAGAGAAATAATGTGATTAATAGGATACTGTTATGAATAAAATCTCATCTCCAATTGTTCAAATAGTCAGTTCAAATAAACTTTTAAACGATGCTTCTTATGTTCGTATAATGTAGTATTTCCATGTGGATGAGATAAAAGTTTCTTGTTATAGTGGAATCTGTACTTCTGATCCGGGACGATGTCCCATAGAAGGAAACTTGGTGGATGTCGCCTGCATTCCCAGACTATGCGCTACTCCGTTGTATTCTGAACAAATTTGAACTGTTGTTCTCGAATATATGGTCTGGAGAACACATGCCACATACTACCTACGACATTTACATCAATGAAAAAAACAGAAGAATTTCTAAAAAATTCGTTGATCTGTTGCAAAATCATTAATTTGAATTTCTTTTTTCTATCACAGATATCTGTTTCACCTGATAGCAGAAACACTTCATGGGTATCCTTCGATGGTAGAAATAGACAGGAGCTTTTTCATGGCGATAGGTAGAAATCAAGTTTCTAAATCTTTAATTCTCTCATTGTTATTACAAATAATGGCGAACAACAGTATTTGCAACACAGTTTACGTCTCTTTCGATGGTCGCAATCAGCAAGAATTATGTGTCGGGGATAGGTTTGTCTTGTTATTTCATAAAAGACATTCTTTTTTTTCATTTTCATTTATAGATTCAAAATACTCTTTTACGATATTCATTCATTTTTTTTTTTAAATTAAATTCGTAAATGAAATTCTTTTAAATTTCACTTTTCAATTTCTCTATATATTTCTTTCCGTGATATTTGGAAAATATAACTTATAGATACTATTAATTATTTTTTTTTTTTTTAAATTTCTATTTGTTAAATGATATGAATGATGGAATATTCAATATATATACATCGATATTTTTTTTTTCTTCTAGAGACGTTAACTGTATTGCAAGCTGACAATGCTCTCAATGTTTCTATTACTATTTATATTATTATATACTATTTATATTATTTTCATATCATGTGTTTAACATAAAATATATTTAATATTTTCCTACTATTTTCAGTTTAAAAGTAACAACATCCATCTATCCAGTACCCAGCATTTGTGCTGCCGACCAAATTACTGATTGGTTCGATTCATTGGCAGAATGTTTACACTGGAACGTTCGCAAGAAGCAGAAACACTTGGATGAACTGAGCGACTTGACTCATTCATCTAGCAACGATACGCTAGATTCTCTCGATCGTGATAGCTAGGTCAGGCAAACGAGTCATAGACTGAACCAATACAATCACTTATACATCAAGCCCTAAATAATTATGTTCAAAATCATTTACGAATCGATAATTGTCCGATAAGACTTGGTTCGATAAAAAAATCAATGATTCATTGCGTACAATGCATGAAAAGGGCAAGTCGTATAACTTGTGTTCTAACTTGTGTTCGTTCTGTCATAAAAAACAGAAGAGAATGAACTCGTCTAATCATTAAAAGAACTGAAATATCGTACATGGATTGCAGGCACTATTAGCGATTTACAGGTTAGCGGAACTCGAAGTTCTCAAAAGAAATAATAATATTTTGATACGTTCAAAAGTAAATGAAATATCGAGATTGTTCGTCTTCACGAAATAAAAGATCGTAAAGACTTTATGGCTATAATCAGTGCATCGAAAAGCACAACAGAAGTTTTCTATGTCCAACGCATAATTCTACAGTGATATTTCACTCTAATTTGCAAAATCATTTCTAAAACAAATTTCTTTTCTTTTTTTTTTTTTTCTTTTTCTTTATTGAATTTAAATTAATAATGTTGAATATAAGATTATAAAGTATGAAAGCATTTGAAGAAATTATAAAAAAAATATTAATGATAGAAATATTATATTTTAAGAGAAAAACACATTGGTGCAATTAATTTGTTTAATAAAAAAGCAGAATGAATTATTAATATTCTTATTTAATAAACAAATTATTATGAAAAATAATATATTAAATTATGATCATTCATTTTATATTGTACATTCATATTTATTTATTATACTTGAATTTTTTAATGCATTTCAAATTATGAATCAAAATAAATTTATAGTTTTTGATATAAATATTGTGATTTTGTTAATTGCAATAAAATAGGCATATAAGCATAAATCAACTATAAGAAATATTATTATCGATAATTTTTTCTGCTTTCTTCTGAAAAAGTAGTCCGATTATGGATTATTCTTTTGTAAATGTTGAATGTACTTTTCCTAATGAACATTTTTAATAAAAAAAATCATTTTTGTACAGAGAATGTGGTCCATTAATAATTAAGACAATAATTAAAAAATTTACTTAATCATTGTATAAATTCCAATAAGTAAAACAACACAAAATATTATGTATGATATTTTAAAATTAAAATTAAAAATAATTTAAAAAGCCAAATTTATATTAAAATGAAATAAATATATATATATATATATAGAAAAAAAGAGATCATGAAAAAATTTATAAAATTATTTCAAATATATATAAGTGATATATTAATAAGATGCAATAGTTTAAATGTTACATTTGATATTATTTTATCCGTATATGATCTCTGAATAAAATTATACATGTACAAAATAGTTTGCTCGTATTTAACAGAGAATATAAAAAATATACAAAATAATATAAACATCATTATAAAATGTAAGGGTCAAACTTAGAATGCATTTAATACAAAGGCATTATAAGTATTGACATGAAATCATTTATTTTTGCACAACCAAGTAATTAAATATACATTATATACAGAAATTATATAAAATTTGTAAGAATATGTTGTTTATTTCATCAAACAACAACATATTATAATATTAATATAATATTATTATAATAAGTAGCATAATCTTTTGAATGAACCATTAGAATTTGAAATAAAATAGCTGAAGTACTTTGTTTTTGTACTACACACAAAATTTAATATTTTACTTATGGTCTCATTCAAGATATAATAAAAAAAACTCTATAAGCTTTTACATTTAATTAACATAAAATATAAATATCTATCTCTAAGTTCTTACATTTGGTTGCATCAGTCGTGAGCATGACTGTATGCATGTGCATTACATTGCATACACATCTGCATACAAGCCAAAAATATTTTTATTAATCTAACGAATAATCTAATTATTATCAATCTATTGATTCGATTTCACTGGTATGTACATCATACTAAATCATACTAAAAATTTAAATCTATTGGCATCCGAAAAAAAGACACATATTGACATGGAAGCCAGTTTCGGAACGCAATTACAGAAAACAATACAAAACAATAAAATAACTTACCATTTAAATAATACGGTGCTACATTTTTAAGTTAACATTTTTTCTTTTAGTTAAGAATAGTCTATAAAAGGACTTTTGCTGGGATTGTACGTACTTTTTAAACATTTACAATTATTATAATTTTCGCGCGTTTTTTACTCCATCTTAAATTAATTTTCAAGTAGTGGGGGCATTCGTCTATTGTTTTCATGTGATCTATTTTTGTGCGCATAGAATAGTAAAAATTACTAGAATATCGTCAACATGATTTTATATAAAAAGTTTATAAAATTTTGTTGAATTCGTTAATGAGTTCAATCTAATTAATTATTCAAAAATAGTAATAAAAAAATCATTTTTTTAACGAATTCACAAAAGTATCTTTGTTCGATTTAGACATATTTTGTATTGATTATAGTTACTTTTTTCATAAAAATGCATCCTACGTTTCTGTTAGTGCATGTTTGAATCGAGTGATAGTTAAAGGACGGTATTCCCTGTTCTTCATAAAAAAGTTATCATTTTTTAAAATATAAAGTACAATATGAATAATTTACTACTTTCTTATAACATCTAAAAGTTTTTCTTCCATTTTAATGCCTGCAATTGACGTATGTCTCCGTTTTGCCATTTACGATACGAACGTAACGAGTACAGGCTCGTACGAAGAGTGCAGGTACTCGCTGGTCTGTAGAAAAGAAAAGACTATTGTAAGTATTTAAGTTCTATAAAAAATAATTTCATTAACAAAATATTTGTAATCTTTTTGTCGTCATTCTAAGACTAAATCGAAATCTTAAAAAGTGGTATTCAGAATATGTAGTAAACTACTCTTAAGAAATTTTTCACTTTTATTTTACAAAGAAGTAGTCATTTTTGAAAAAAAATCTAGTCTCAGTATGACGAAGCTTTGTGTTACCGCCAAATCAAGACGAAAACCACATAGCATCGCCACTAAAATAAATATTGTAAACAACAATCGCAAATAATAGCAATTTTTATATCATCTACATCTACATTATATAAATCATTCCAAGTTATGACACACGGTGTTAAGTATCACGCAGTATGCAAGCAGGCAATCGAAATCACATCGGAGTTAGTATTGTTAGAGCACACACTCACATGCCTTCTGATCTGAATCCTGATCCACGCAAGACGGTTGCTGAATATATAGAGCCGGTTTCAATGGCCTGCCATCTTGATCCTCAACTTGGATTACCAGGCCGTGATTACTTCCGCTTCCATGAGAGTTTCGTGGATTCAATCTCCAGAATCGGAGACCTTGTCTAACATCTAACGCTAGATGAGTACCTTTAAACGTGAGGGGTGTCACTACCGAATCCATCAAACGTTTCTTCGCTGTTGATAAAAAATTGATTCCATAATTTATTTCTTATAAAAAATTAGCTGAAAATAATTAACTCGACCAAAGACTTACATCGATGTCTCTTCAAAGTTTTCGTGTAATAATAGACCGATATTCTAATTTTTTTTTCGTCTTCTTCTTCATCGTCAAATGTACTTTCTGAAGAGAACGTTACATTTTCTTGCGGTAATTTAAATATCCGTAATTTGGCAGCTATCACATGATCACTGGAAGTCAAGTTCAATTGAAAATGCATATTCATAGAGAATGAATCCGTCCAAGCATCTTGATCTGTGTTACGTGGAATTTGACCTGATTGAAAGAATTGGATTTTAAACATTACTCGGATATTTTTATATAAATATATTTTAGTAATTGAATAACTAATTATCATTAAGAAACTTACAAGTTGGAGAAAACATTGTCAATCTTTCTCGTTGGACTTGATTAGCATCAGTGCTGAGGTTGAACCTTCCCGTTAGTGCTAAAACTCGTGTTTTGATATCCTCAATGGCTTTTTCACCTTGGCTACACATATAAAGAAATTTTTACAAACTTAATAGTTATAAAAGATAATCGGCAAACTTTTAACACGAAACAGACAAAAGGAAAGATATGATTTTAATCTATTAGTAAGTAAAAATTGAAAATATTATAATTAGAGAGTAAATTCAAATAGAAGAATTAAAAGTAACCGAAGAATTCTGCGTGCCTGAATGACGACGTAAAAATTTTCACTTGGAGATACGTGCAAGCTTTCCGGGCAGTAAGACAGGCTAATGGACGGTGGTCAGTGACCTACAGGGCCTATAGTGTGGGTCAGAGATATTTATTATACGTTCTAGACATTGACTAGACAACCATCGTAAGCACTAGTATCTCATTTGTCTGGTCTAGCAGGGAACTGTTAATGTATTCGTCTTGAGTTTCAAATTTTGATTTCTGCTATTAAAATAAACATTGTTTTACTTTCCGATACTTCATAAAAAAAGTTTAATCAGCACAAGTTGAATAAATTGTATTAATCATAGATCCTGAATAAGCTAGCGTTAATCTAGATTTTATACCAGAAGAGACTTTTAAATATACATATGTAAAACTCGCGCCAATGATCAGGTGAGATTACGGGATTGCATAACGAAGACTAAGTCGTTAACCGGCAGGAAAAAAAGGAGGAGCGTCTTTTCTCTGCGTCACTGGCAAGGATTGGACGCCCACTTGGACCTTTGAGCGCAGCCAATCGGGCGTCAACGACCTCGTTGTTGCTCGACAAATAATCAGAAATGGTTTTCCTAAACAATCAGTTGGTCAGGAACAGAATGCACAGTTGGATGCTCGAGAAGAATCGTAAAAAAAAAATTTCTTTTTTATTAATCTTCATCTAATTTGTCCTATTCTCTTTGCCATCCAGGAATCCCTTTGGAGAAGCGGAAGAGATATACGGAGGAGAGCACTCGGACGAAATCTCGCCACGAAATCTTGTATTCGATTCTAGACATGCTCCTTAATCTAGCCACGTCCAAGTCACGCATTCTACAGCGTCTCGTTGCGTACGTGTCACGTCTGTCTGCCGTCTGGGAAAGGGAAGGACTCGGGTGTCTGGAGGCCGTTGCATCATGAGAATGAATCCAGTGATCCTTCCCGAGTACCGTATTAAGAAAATTGGCCGGTTTTGTAACAGCCTTCGGACTAACGTGAAGTAACATCAACAGATAAGATTTCTTCGATTTTTTAAAAAATCTTTTATTCTTCTTCCGTGAAGAATAAAATTTTTTGCTTAAAAAAGAAAAGATTTTTAGAAAAAAATTTTAATATTATAACAATTTCAGTAAAGAATTATCGGAGAGAAAATTTGAGAAGCTGTTAAGGATTAAAAATCGATTAGAGAAGAATCGTTGGTGGTAGGTGTCAAAAGGCAAGGGAGAACGTTTTGTGTACCGCAAAACGGTGAACGACGACCTGATTGGCGACTGTCAAAAAATGCACGTTGCATCGTCTGGCGGTGAAGTGGGGAGCCACTGACGAAAACTTCCTCCTCGCTCTTCGTTGCGCGTCTCGCATCATCTTTGTCGGCATAGGAAGAGAGACGCATAGACAAGGTCAGCGCATTAAATTAAAATGTGTTACATAACCTCGTAAGAGAGCAGTCCTAACTGCAGTCTGACTAGACACCCGGTGATTACGAGGGTGCTCAACTCAAAATCGTTGTTTCTTTGATATCTAACGATATTTGTTTCATCATAGATTTCATAAAAAATAAATTAATTTATCTAGTACACCACATAGTTTTATATCATTTTTTTTTCTTTTAATCACATTTGTATTTTTAATTTTTCATTCACTGTCATTATTCTTGAGTAATAAATAAATAAATGAAATATCTATATTATTTCTTTTATGATTTTTATTAAAATTAAATTTTGAAATCAAACATTTAAGAAAATTCTAATTCTTGATGGATTATCTAGATCACCCTGTAGAGACTTGAGGAAGAAGCGGAACGACCGGCACACCGGAGTCCTCACTCTCAGCAGGCTACGCCAGTGCCGACACGAATGCATTTACGCGTCTAGACTTAATAAAATAAAAGAAACGCCTTCGCACCAGAGGCCAAGGTGGTGGTGGAGAAGGAGGGTGATTTAAAAACATAGTTAGGGACCACAACGGAATTTCCATTGTATATTTTCGCTCTAGTCTCTATCCCGGTATCTGTCTTTTTAAAAGATAATGAGCACCATATTTGTCCGATCCGAAATCATTTTTTTAGTGAAAAATTTTTGCGTGCATCACTGATTTTTATATTAAATCATTCTTGCGATTCTAAATTTTCTTGCGTTGACCTTGTTCGGTAACGATTCGTAATTGATATTTTACATTTTTTCTGTTTAGAAAAAGAAACGGCAGAGGAAAAGTAAGGAGAAATAGCTGAAGAAGCGGTCGCTGATCAACCCGAGGCGAGAAATTCAGTGGCGCTCCGTGATTCTTCGTTTCGTCATGGTATTTTTACGGGCCATTGAGATATTTTTACGTAGCGGGGGCAATGATTCGTCAAGAACGTCTTTGTCGTTCAGTATTCGCAAGCAGAGGCCTGGGTTATGTCGTTGGAAAATCATTTGCTTTTTTTCTTCGTTGCAATAATTAAAAAGGAGTTCAACGGCAACGTTTGAGGAAAGGAGAAAAAAGGAAAACGAACGTTATCTTTTCATGCAGACACATATAATATTCCATTTCCATAAAGCATAGATTTTCTGTTATTATCGCAATAAATCGTGCAATGCGAGCAATGAGATAATCGTGATGAGAGAATGTATTTTTAAATTATGCAAGCTAAGCTAATAGAAATGGTCGATCGGAAGAGCAAAACAAAAAAGAAAAAAATTCGACAGAATTTATCTGTCCATCTTATTCGGCACACCGAGTCCCTTACCCGAAAAATGATCATAGTACCATCTGTGGGTGAAGCTTACCTGTCGAAGCTTGAGGTTAGGTTTCCTCTAAAAGACACAAAAAGCACATTGTATAGATACTAATTCCGCGTTTTGCAAAGCAAGAAAGACACACGATGATTGACATTTAATGAATGAGAAAAAAATCGAGTCATCCGTTTTGAAATTTTCATTTTTTTTTTTTTACCCATGACTCGAATCTACAAGCTAAAATTCCGAGAGATTAAAGAGAAATTTATCTTGAATTGTTGAAAATGAACATTCGAATCGAAGCAGATGAAAAACGTAGAATTATGAAAGATGATTTGATTATCTTACTTACCCTCGTCGATGAGCAATAGCCACTTGTAGATATGACGATAGATTCGCCAAAGGAAGATTGCCGGCAGAAATGTTATTGTTAGATACGAAGAGCTTGACAGAATCAGGAGTGTCGTTCAAATACCCCAACGTGCTGTTTTCGTTCTCCTCTGTGTTCCAATTTAGTCGGGAAGAGTCGTGGCTAGAGTCTTCGTAGTCGGACGTTTCGTTCTCCTCCGTGTTCTCGAAACTAAGGGAATCCACGAACTCGGGGAGTACTCTGTAAACATCATCTTCGACCCATTCGAGCCCTTCGTACTCGCTGATCTTTTTATTTTCATTAGTTCTCTCTTCATTTTTTAAGACGGATACTTTATCTGTGGAATCGATAATGCGAATATTCGTTTCATTTTTGTCGTTTAAAATTTCATCTGGTACGATACTTTCTGTGGTAGTATCGGTACTACTCGATGTCGAAGACGCGGCTGTAGTAGAATAATCATTATTTAGATAGTTACTCCTAACATTGATGCTACTCAATTGATAAACCAGAGGTAGAGTAGAAATAGTAGTCGAAGACATTGATGGCGGTGTCGATACATGAAAGGAATTACCGGCATTTTTTAAAGTCGCGTGTCTCGTCGTTGTCGAAGGATCGTGATGTTTGGATGTCCTAGAACGATTTTTATTCGTTTCGTCCGAACCCGAGCTGGAATCGAATTCGGAATCATCGTACCGAATCTTGAAGACTACGTGAGGCTCCATCACCCTGTCGAAATCTCGATGAAGATTATTCGCGATATCTTCCTCTTTGGAGGCTTTGGTAACCTCCTCGTAATCGACAGCCGTAGGTTCTGACCAAGATTGTTGAAATTCCATGTTGGACGGCAGATTCTCGTAATCAAGGATCGCCTGTCGATTATACGCCTCGAAGTCAAAATCCTTGTAGGAAGGTGATCTATCCACATGGCGGTTCTTCTTACCTTCTCGTTTATTGGTTTCGAAATCAGGATTTTTCGAAAAGGAACGTGGATCCGTGGATTTTTTATTCCAATTTTTAACCTTTCTTTCTCCATCTCCCCCGTACAATACTTTCGTCCAAGATTTCACGCTCTCCTTCTTCCTCAATTCTTCATCCTTCTTCTTGCTCAATTCTCTCTCGCGAATCGCAAGAACTTCCTCCAAACTATAATTCAGACTTTTCAACAGCAACATATCACCCGTGCTAAGATCACCGGTGATTATTTTTAAGATAGCTTTCTCCAGCATCTTCTCCAGCCTCCTCTCGCTAAAAGGTACAGTGCGTTTAATTTCCTCGCCCTTTAAGCCCCTGCTCTGCTTCTCGCCCTCGGACAGTACCACGTTCTTATTGTCACTGGCCGTGTACCTTTTCGCGTGGTCCATCGGATCCCCCTTTTTCTTATCGTCCACGTGGATACCGCGATGATGATGGTGGCACGATACACTGTTCATAGTCGAGACGACCAACAGCAGCACGAAGAACTCGAATAATTCCATGACGACGACGACGACAACGACGAATTAGGAAATTTTTTCGTGAAAGATGGGGGGAGGGGGAAAAGTCTCACTTTTTGTCCGGTCTCCTTCTCTGACAAAATTCTATCGTGGAAAAGATGGAAAACTGGCACCACTTTGTTCATGCGACAAATGCGGCCACCGTTATCGCTCAATGGATGCCTCCATATTTACGAGGGATTTTACAACCCTCGAAGAGGAGAGGAATCGGAATTAAGGTGAGAAATGTTGTCTGCGAAACCGCGTGTTGTACCTCCCGTAACGAAACCAGTGACCCAGAGAACGACGAGGCGAACGTGAAGACGGAAAGACGTTGCGGTGTGTCCGCGTTACGAAGAAGTGTTAAACAAACTGGTCCGTGATACGGAGTGGCGGGTGATCGCGGACTAGTCTAATCGCATCAGGAAGCCGCGGTATATATGTAAGTAGGAAAGATTCGTGGCATGCGTGTGCACGGGCTGAGCAGTAAGTCTCAACTGAGCCGAGCTGGCCTGCTCACGGACATAATTCTGTCTACTCACTAATTCCGAGACAAGCACGAAGCCGCGAGAGGAGACGCGCCGGTGTTACTACGATCATTCGTTTTTTTTTCTTCTTCTCCTTCGTCTCCTTTCTCTTTCTCTCGGTAAGTCTGTTCCTCTCGCTCCACCCGCCGCGCGCGTGTGGTAATCCCTTTCCCTCGCTCGCCGAAATCCCGCGGACGACCGCCTTTCCTCTCTCTCCGTGACGCTTTATCGCACCCGCTTCTTCTTCCACTTTCCTTCCTTCCTTCCTTCTTTCTTTCTTTCTTTTTTTCTTTTCTTTTTTCGATCGTCGTCCGATTTTCCTCTCTCGTCAATTTTTCAACGGTTCCACTCGCCCCCACTCGTTTCCAATCGTCGGTCGTATCGCACAACGCGAGGAGTGGCTAATTTTCTGGATCTTTACATGCGATAGTTATACGCATATACTTATCGGAATCGAAATTTGTTGCAGGATCGGCGGAGTGACGGCTAGCAGCGAGCGAGCGAATTCGAGCGATGCGACATCTCGTCGTGGAGGAAGGAGAAGGAATTTTCACGCGATGGAAAGGTATACTCCTATATGATCCGGGAGGAGGCGTCTACGGGAAATTTTCACGGGATTTTCACTCAGAGGAGCGCGAGCCCCGTGGGATGAAGGTGGGTCGCGGGGCAAAAGAAGGAAACGAAAAACGGAGGCGCGGAGGAGGCGCGAAGAAATGATCGAGGAGGCACCTTGTATTCGGCTGCTTGTTTCAGGGGCAGCCACGTACGACTTTATAGGGTGTCTCCCTCTCCACCGTCTAGACGAATCGAAGATATGATCTTTGAATCATAATGTATCGCTTTTAATAAATGCAGCCTCCGCGTGCGTGCGTGAAAATACGATGCGTGGCAAAGCACGTCGACGACGGGGGCCCAAAAAGAAGAACGGGAACGAGGAAAGAGGGGAAAAAACAAGCGGAGACCGAGAGAGGCCGGGAGAAACGAAGCGGGACGAAAGATAACCCGTGCTCGGGATCGTGATCGTGATCGGATCGGTCAGCGGAATCCGTGTGAAAATCCATAAATTTCGCGCTCGCGAGACAGAGAGAGAGAGAGAGAGAGAGAGAGAAGAGATTAGAAAGGTCGGGCTTGACGTGAATTGTGGCGGCGCGCTCCTAATCTGTAAATTAGGTTAAAGGATTCGGTTCTTTGAACCTGTTTACTCTGCCCATCTCTCCAATGGACCAGATGTCGGCTGGGATATTCGAATATTCCATCTTTCTTAAATCTTTCTTATAATAAATCGTTGCTGATATTGTCGTAATCGTATCGAGGCTAGGATCTACCGGGAAAAGTTCACGTTTAAAATTCTTTCACATTAGATCGCGCTCATCTATTCTCAGACCGAGATAAGTTTTAATTAACGATATATCTCTCGATAAAAATCTCCAACTTGGAGAATCGCATTAAACGATCTTGCAAGACGATAATCGTAAAGATGATTTAACAATGAACGTTTCCTAGACGGAGGATGAATTTAGATTCTGCTTCGCCCCCGTTTGCCTAAACAACATGGAAGTCTTGTTGTAACAGAAAACAGAATTCTTACTTAATGATTAATTCCTTCCTTTTTGGCAGGTGGCCATCGCCTAGGATAAACTTAGTTTCCATCCATCCATCCATCCACCTTCTCGTCGCGCGATATTCTTCGAATCGAATTTTCGCCATACGCATCTTCGAAACGGCCGTCGAAAGGGTAAATTCTTATTAAATTCGCGCTCGATCTTTCTGATCGAGTCGAGTCGACGCGCAACAGGATCACCTAGACGGTATAAACGAAATGGACGAGGTCGATGAGAAGAGAGAGGAAATGCGAGCGAGGACACTTACTCACCCCCTGTTGCAGCAAACCATCGTCGTCGTCATCGTCATCGTCGTCGTCGTCGTCGCGTTGACCGATGCGTTTGGATCATGCGTGCATATCATCGCGGGACGCCGCGTGTTACATGTAGACACGTGCACGCATTTAAATGTACAAAAGGGAACGGCGGAGGGATCGGAGAAAAGAAGAGGAGGCAGACGAAAGAGAGAGGATGCAATTTGATCCGGCGAAGAGAGGCAAGTCGAATCGTCGAATCTCTCCGGCCACGGTGCAATACGCTCCGTGTATGACGTCACCTCCGAATCTTCCGTCGCGATTCGGACGTACGGACAGACAATCTGGCGTCTAGACGTACCAAAATAAATAACACGGGGCCTTGCCTCGCCATCAAACTGTTTGCAATCGTAATACTCGTCCGTCGGCCTTGCGGGCCCCTCGTTCTGGACAGGGATGAGGAATAGAGCGGAACCGTTTCAGAAGTGGTTCGTGGGCATTTCGTATTAGCCTGAATCCGGCGAGATATCAATTTCGAAAATTCACCAAGATTCTCGAAGATAAGAATAAACTCTTAAAAATTCATTATCGAGTAAGTATTGTTTATCGTACAACGATTTCACAATATTCGTTTTCTTTTATTTTGTTTTCAGGAAAGATTGGAATCTTGCTGTCAGTTTCCGGTTTAATATGGACAATTCTTGTAATTCGTTGTACCGTTCAACGTGTAATCAGATCAACGGAGTAATCGGTTGTGTGTTGTTCGATCGACGTAAAAAAAGGTATCGATGATGGTAATCGGACAGCGCGTCAGACAGACGCCAGAGTAGAGGTTCGATGACTTTCTCCGCTGACCCAAAGTTCGTCAATATTTCGGTCAGTTCACGGATTTTCTCGGATATCTTGGCAAATTGATGCGAAACGATTCGGTGTAAACCGTGGACGTGGTTGCGCCAATAGACTCGTATTATCTGGCGAATCGATATCGAATCGAAAGAAGCAAGGGAAGGGAAGAGAGAAAAAGAGAGAGAGAGCAAGCGTGTATATTAGTTCAATCAAAGGTGAGAAGGCGTAGAATTCGTAGAAAAAAAAAAAAAAAAAAAAAGAAAAATGGAAATGGTGCAATTTGCTCGATACATCTCTCTCTTCCTCCTTCACCTCGGCGGACGCAGACGATTATCGAGATAAGGAATACCTGGAATCCGACAGGAGAGAGAGATCGGTCCCGCCTGCTCGATCCTCGAGCTTCGTGGAAGCGAAATTTGAATTTCGAATCGTATTGCGCAATCCCACCCACGCATAGGTGCACTCGTTTCGAGGCCTCGCCATCGTACGTGGGATTGTATAAAATCGAAAACAAGAGAGTTGGACCGAACCGGGTGTGGGGAGGAGAGGGGGGTGGGGGGCCACCCTTCTTATAATACTCCAGCATTTTTTGTCGGTCGCGGATAAAATATTCATAGCATAATCCGAACGATCTAGCCGATTCATTCGAATTTCACAAGCACCGTTACATCATACATAATTACAATAAATTAGTGATACCAATGCCAAATGAAATATTTTCTTCGTCTTTCGTCTCGTTTCTTCTTCTTCTTCTTTTATATTCCTCTCTCTTTCCCCTCCCCTCGGCCCCCCTTTTTTTTATCACTGACTTCTCTCGTCCCTTCGATCGATAAACAAGCGTTAAAACGAGTCTCGTGCGCTATTAGATTATAACGTATAAGATGCAGCCTGGTTAGTTGGAGATCGGAGATAAAATAAATTCGCTGTCAGGGCAGAAATTACCCCTTCCCGTCTGTCCAGCGCGTGTCCAGCGCGGAGATTAATTTCCAGTGGCTACCGAGCTTTCGGAAGAAGGTGATCGTTAACCCAGATAAGGGAACATCGGAACTGACGTAGATATGATAAAGGGCGGAATCCGACTGGTCTCATCATCTCGGGAGAAGAGTCGCGTGCTGCGCGCTGGAAGATGGATCGGATTCGTCGCATTCCAAGGAATCTCGTGGGCGAGACGAAGGCAATTTTAATGCGTCTTCCTTCGCCCGTTCCTCGCGCCAGAAATTATCGCTCGCTTCTCCTCCTATCATCGACGATTCCAGGGAATGAAATTAAAAATGCATTGCATTATCGGCGATTTCGAAATCGATACACGCGTCTTCGCGGGAATATCGACGAGTTCGATTATTCGCGGCTGTGCTCGGGAATCGGGGTTACCCCCTTATATTCCAATTAGAAATGCATTAAAATTGTCACGAGGAGTAATTTAAACTGGATAGCCGTGCATGATAAATCGTTCGTCGAAGCGATCGTTCGAAACTTGTTCCCCGATTGTTCCTCGTGGCTCGCGTTTCGAGAGGTTTCCCCTCCTCTTCTCTCTCTCTCTCTCTCTCTCTTTTTTTAGATGTTCGAGCAGAATCGCGAGAAACAAGAGAGGAGCGGAAGGAAGAAGAACGCTTTCGAGTATCTTCAATTCTCTTCGGTTCTCGTGTATCCGAATCTCGGTTCTAGGACGGCAGAAAGATGGGATCTGGTTTACTGTTTCCATCGTGGCCAGCAACTACGCATTTCCGCTCGTTGAATTCCTCTGTGGGAATGAACGGTGTTCGCTTGGATCAGATACGATACGTTCGGCTGAACCAGATCCATGTACCAGAATCCGACCAAATCGCCGATCGTAGTTGCAGCAGCCCACGGTTTTTTTTTTTTTTTTTTTTCTTCTTTTTTTTTCCTTTTTATCTTCCTGCGCCGATCGCCTCCTTCTCAGCCTCCCGTATTTTTCTCGAATTCTCAATTCCGAACTCTTTCTTTTCGAGAAAAGACGTGATAATTGATTCCGGATCGTGGTAAATTTTCAGAGAATTCCATGGAGGGACCCACCAGAGTTCCAACCAGAGTTCCTCGAGACGAGATTTCCACGAGAAGCGGGAAGAGCAACGCGACGACGGGGCCCGCCTTTGCCTGTAGCAACGCCGTAACGCCGATGTTTATCCACAAGTTATGCTGTTCGGATTTCGCTATTCTCATCGAGTTTGGCGGTGTGCCAGGAACCTAAAACTGGCTTGCTTAACTTCTACTACGTAGAGCAGGAAAATAGAGGAGGTGTGCGGAATTATCAAGGCCGTAGACAGTTGGACGGAATCGAAATCGCTTCGAAAAATGTAAATTGCGCGTGAGTGTAGCGGGAGCGTACGTCAATCGTTCGTTTGACGCGACTCGATTTATCTCGGAAACAAACTCGATTCTATTCGTGTTCTTAGAAACAAATTCCCTGAAATTCATACAATGTGTATAAGGAAGGAAGGAAACGACGACGATGGGAGATATATAAAAAAAAAAGGGGGGAGATAATTATTTTGAGGAGAATTTCTTGCCGCGTAGATGTAGATCAAGGACGCGGATTCGCGTTTCATCTTTCTCCGCAGCTTCTGTCGAACCGTCGTATAAGCAACGTCTAGGAAATCAAATTTCTTCGCAGGTGGAGGAGAGTCGGATAGCGGAGTGAAAAACACGCGGGCCTGGTTTCCAACAAAAATTTATACGTGACTGGTGCTCCTGTCTCGTCTCCCGTCGCGTCTCGGTTAGATAAGAGCCGCGTCATCTTCCCGATTCCTCCATCGTTTTAATCTTATCCTCCATCGAATTAAACCACCGACGATTCTCGATGAAAGAAAGAAAACACTTCGCTCCTATTTCTCTCGTGGATCGATCGAATTCGAAACGAGGCTGCTCGAGAAACGTTTTCTCAAGTTGCGTCGTGCGTGAATTTCGTCGCCGAATCGATCTCGAATGTTTTCTTTCCGAGAAAGACCTTCGAACGGTCTTCCACGCGCGCGCCCAAGAAATCTTCCTCTCTCGTTATGGCTTGGATAAAGCCACCTTATATAATTTGATCGAAATGTCGGTTTTCAAGGGAAAAAAAAAAAAAACAATTACGACGCGTTTCAACTTGGTCCACGCCTCGGGCGTGGATACTTTTGTTGTAAACATTTCTTAAATAAGAACGAGTGAAAGCTTGGATGCATAAGATCGACCGATTACCTTACCGTCCGATTTGTATTATTCGTATAATTCCTCGTAAAGATCGTAAATGATAAAATGATAATATTTTTTTCGAGTAGAATTTTAACACTTTTGAAATTTACGCACGCATAAATTAATAAAGTAATCGGGAGAACGAGCAGACGTTCCTATTATTCTCTATTATTATTTTCCTCAATTACGCGGTACAAAAATTTAACATTTTTAACATCGTCTAATTTATTTCACGGAAATCTCTTCTGAAAAAAAAAAAAAAAAAGAAATCTTCGTCAAGGCAACGCGCGATTCCTTGGTAAAAAAAATTCGTTACGCTCCTCTATAATTATATCCACGTCTCTCTCATTGAGCGCGATGCTACGACTCCCACGAACGAGTTTCCAGGTGCATGACTAATGCAATCCTTCTCGCGCATGACAATTATTTTTTATCGTCCAGGAAGCGGGCATCTCGTAATTTCCTTCATCTCATAGCAGTCTCTTACTGAAAATCTGTCTACTCGCTATGCGCGTTCCATCCAGGAACGGGTATCTGAATTGCGAGCGGATATCGTCGATTACGGGCACGGTTTTCCGGTTTGGCCGGTGCGTGTACAGGTTCCAACGACTCGTGCGTGGCTAAACACGGCGGAAGAATTTTGATGGACCACGCAAGAGAAAGTATCGAAAGGCCCGTCGCGACCGTCACCCTGTTAAATTGCGTTTCGCGTCCGATCCTTCACCCACGATCCGTTACGACGACGCGTCGTCACGTGACCGACGACGGCTACGTCCCGTGTGAAAAAAGCAGCGAGGAATTTTTTTCGAACTAACCGCCGATACAATTGCCCTGCCTCCTCGAAATTCATGGTTCCTTTCGGATTCGGGGCTCGTAGGGCTCGATCGATGGACGAGGCATTCGAATCGAAGGAATCGACGTTCCCCTCTCGTCTCGCTCATCAATTATTTTCGCATCTCGAAAGCGAAAATTACTTTCGTATCGTATCCCATTAATTCCCCATTTGCTTCCCGATTTTATTTATGTAAAGATATTTGTTTCGAGATATTTTCGTTCTCCTTCCCCTCCCACCTTTTCTTTTCGTTTTACGAGTTGTAAATTAATTGTAAAAATTTTATATATATATATATATATATATACATGCACCGAGAACGATAAACAAATGTATTTGATTATTTTATCGCACGGTAGTTAGAATTTCGCGATAACGGCGCTTAACCCCTGTCCCCTGCTCGGGAGTCGAGGTCGATCGCGTAAAACGAGGTCAATTGTAAAATCTTGTACTCGAAATCCATTATTAGCCTCCCCCTACTATCTAATCATCGAAGCACCGTCAAACGGTAATGATCCGATCTTTAGTGATCCAAGAGACTTATCTCGGTGCACGTGAACCGTGATATCAATGGCATGATAGTATATATGATGTTAATAAGAGATATTCGGTGTCAGTAACATTTTTCTCTTATCCAGTGGCGAATCGTGATTAAAAATTTGTAACTTAACGTTTATTGTTTCGATTCCAGTCCAAGTTGTAAGATTTTTCTGCAGTATGTGATAAAAACTATATAAATTAAAACGATATACGGTATAATCAATGTTGAAAAAATAGTTGATAGTTTTTTTTTTTATTGTGTTTAGAAGAAAATGATTGTTTTACAATCGGTTTAATATATTAAACAACCGAATTACTTTTATCGGTATTATCGTATATTTAATTAGTTATCATTCCATTTATAAATTATTTATGTTTATAAATTGTATTCGGTTCTGTATGAATAATTAAATTCTTAATTTGTTTTTTTTTTTTCTTTTTCTCATTTAGTATCCGTTGGTGACATAACGAGACATGTCTGCAAATCCAGGATTTGAGGTATTTTTATATTTCATATTTTTCCTATATCCTTATTCAATTATGCAATAATTATGTATAAATTTTTCGATAAGAGTAAACTCTTTATAACTTCATTTAACTTATTAGTTACATTTTACGTTAATTCAAATATAATTTCCAAGAATCCATTTGTTCGATTGAGGTTAAAAAAGAAAGTCGTTGGCATTTCCACGATTAACTATTTCTAATAAAGTTTCTCTATTTTTCTTTTTTCTTTTTTTTTTTTTTAGAATACCGAGTTAAACGTGTTAGAGACTGGTCATCTGACAGACGAATCGATAACGGAAAACAAGGTATGTAACGTATTTGTAATTCTTGTTAAAGAATGCCATTGTTCATTGCAATTAATCGATGATTAGTAGATTCAATAAGGTTCTTCATTTAAAATATCGATAAAAATAGATAAAATTGTGTAGAATTAAATTTGTTGCGAAATATTATCTTTGTTATCATTTCATTATATTTAATTATTATATTTAATTTTTTTAAGAACTATACCTCTTCCAGGGGACAAGAGAAAAATCAAGTGATTATATACAATCGGTATACGATGCATTGGACGATTTCCTTTCGAAGCATCATCGAGTAGTTCATTTTTTCTTGATGACTCTAGGGAATTTAATTGTATTAATTTATTTTATTTTTGCCACAATATATTGGAAAAATAGTAAGTTGTTACAGTCATGAAAATTTGATTGTTTCATTTCTATATTATTTTATTATATTATTATAATCCAGTCTTTCTTAGATTACAACTATTTCGATTGGTGCCATGGTTATGGTTTGCTACTCCTTATATTAGTGATCGTTTATGGCTTAATTTTTTATCATTATGCCCTGAAACCTTTGTTTGGAAAAATATTCGTTTATTGTCATTGGCCATATCTCAACAATATCATCAACAATTTCCAAAAGATAAAGTAAAATATTCATTCGATGGACGAAATAAAATATTCGTTGCTTTAAAAGTTTTTACTAACTATTTTATATTATTTTTTTTGCAGATATGGCAACATTATCGGTCAAACAATAATTTATACATGTATCTTTACTGCTATCATTGTATTCCTTATTATCGACACTGTAAACTCGAGAGAAAGATTAATGAGTGGAATCGGAATCATCGTATTGATAAGTTTAGGATGGATATTCTCAAAGCATCCTAGTCACGTGAGTAAATCTTATTTATATAAGATTGATTTTAAGAACTATATTAATTAATTATTTTTAATTCTTTTATCGATATAATAATATAAATGTTTACAATCTCAGATTCTCTTTGTTTATCATTTAATATATTAACGTATATATCGGAATAAATGGAAAAATAAAGGATAAGAAAATAACAGCTGTAATTTTTATAAATTCAGATAAAATGGAAACTCGTCTTGAACGCATTGATCGTGCAAATTATCTTTGGTCTTTTTACGATACGATGGTCTGTTGGTCGATCTATTTTCCAATGTATTGCCGACAAAGTAGAATCATTTCTCAACTTTGCAAAGATTGGTGCAAGCTTCGTATTCTCCGATAAATTGATCGCAGATGGCATTTTTGCTTTCACCGTTAGTCATGAATTCTTTCCTTTTTGAAACCATTGAATGAATCATTATTACATTAATCAAGTATTTTTTCTTTTAGGTCCTGCCTGTGCTCTTTTATTTTAATTTTATCATTCAAATGTTGTACTATTTAGGTACTATGCAATGGATTATCTTCAATCTGGGTAAATTTCTGCAAAAACTCATGGGAACTTCGATTTGTGAATCAGTAGTTTGTGCTGGAAATATTTTTATTGGAATGGTAATTGGTATTATGTATTGGATTAAGATTTTCCTTAAGATATTGTGACTGTCCATTCATTTACAGACAGAAACACCGTTAATGATCAAACCTTATTTGAACAAATTAACTACTTCGGAATTGCACACTCTCATGAGTTCGGGTTTTGGTACCGTTTCAGGTGAATAAACAGCAAGCGATATTTAATTGATTCCCAAAGAAACATTAATTTCATTTTAAACTTAGGAACTGTTCTTGCCGCATATATTAATTTTGGTGCAAATCCTGCTCATCTGATAACCGCTACTTTGATGGCAGCACCAGCAACTCTCTGTTACGCTAAATTATTTTATCCGGAAACTGAAAAGATTATAATTACTTCCGATAATGTAAAATTAGAAAAATCGTAAGTTTGTGATAAATTTGTGAATAACGTAATGTAATGCATGACTACTATTTTTATCGAATGTATTAATTATCATAAAAAAAATTGTTTTAGAAAAGACACTGGTTTAATAGACGCAGCGAGTAAAGGTGCTACGGCAGCAATTCCTTTGGTATTGAATATAATTGCTAATATTGTTGCGTTTGTGTCCTTTATCGCATTAGTAAATTCTCTATTATCTTGGGTAGGATCACTAATTGGTTATGAAAAGTTAAGTTTCGAAGTAAGTAAAGAAGAAAAATATTAATATTAAGAAATAATCGTTTGATATTATTTTTTCTAAAACATATTTTTTTCAGCTTATATTATCGAAAGTATTTATACCTATAAGTTGGGTCATGGGAGTACCTTGGGATCATTGTGAGGATGTAGCAACTTTAATAGGTTTGAAGACTACAGTAAATGAGTTTGTCGCTTACAAAGAATTGGGAAAATATAAGAAAGAAGGTCGAATTTTTGGTAGAATTGAGGCTATAGCTACTTTTGCGATTTGTGGTTTCGCGAATCCTGGTTCCGTTGGAATCACTATAAGCATATTGACTTCTTTGGCTCCTGATAAAAAAGAAATTATAAGCAATATTGTCATGAGAGCTTTCATTTCTGGATGTGTTATCACTTTTCTTACAGCCAGTGTCGCTGGTAAGATTTGAAAGATCATTCTCGCATTAAGAATCTACTAATTTACTAATAGAATAATGTTTTTTTAGGAATGCTGGTACCTGATGATTATGAACATATAAATGCGTTTGTATCAAATAGGACTCTTAGTTAATATAATAGTTAATATTTTAGGTTATTATGTTTGCCACTTCTATATAAAATATTTGTAAAATATATGTAAATAGGTAGGATAAATAAGAAAATCTACATTGTTTCAACTTAATTGATATTATGATATCCTATGTGTTATAATATTAAAATTTCATAGCTAATATCCCATAGCCATATACCGATTCTTTATAAATTATACAATTCCCGTATTCATAAATACTAATAAATATATAATAAAATGATTACAACATACATAGTACGAATATGAAAACTTAAGCTAGTACATTTTGCACGTTTTCGATAATTATAAATACGATAGTGTATAGTAATAAGTAAAGTATCACAAAAAACATTAATGAGATCGATATTCAATGTATGTATGGAATTGATATATGCATCACATATATGGAATGTTTGTTTTCTCAAGCACCAAAAAGTAAGTGCATTATTTTTCTAAAGATATTTTTATGGTAGACTATGAAGTTGATGAATTTCATAGAGATTGTGTGTACGATTGAACACATCCGCAGTTACTTCTAACATTTTTGGCAGGACATCAACATTCCTTTGAACGTCTGAACCACAGACCTAAAAAAATTAAATTTCAGAATAATTTATTAATTTTATAAAATTAAATTTTAGAATAATTTATTAATTTTATATAACAAAATATAAATATTAACCTTCTTAAATAAAAGTTCTCTGGTAGGCATTGTATACATGGCAACCACTGCAGCCTTTCTAATCACCCATGGATGATGCTTAGCTAATGTTTTATTATAAGCATCTTGGCAACAACTGGATGTTTTATCACTATCTGAAAGATCGCCCAATTGCCTTAAAAATTCTCTAATAAAATCTGAAAATTTAAAACTACATATTATTAAATGAATTAAAAATAAATACTCATAAACAAATTTTCATACATTGTAGTACCTAAGCCTCTATGAAGCCTCAATAACGTACGAGCTCCATTCGAATAGTCTCCTTTATCTAAAATTTTGTTTTCTTTCTCATATTCTATCATAGTCTTTATTGTACCATAGTTCTGATCATTTTTATTGATCAAATCAATCAATATCTCAATCTTTTGCTTTAAATCCGAGGATACAAAGCCAAAAACACTACCCATCAGTTGAAAAAATCTGTGTCATAAATAATTATATTATACATATGTCAGAGAGAAAAATAAAGATAGAAAGTGCTCATTTATATTCATTTATAAAATTGGGTCAATAAAAGATGTTATATGCATATGGCATTGATATTATCATTGATATTATCATCACCAGTTGTTTTCACAAGATTTTTATGTGAATTTCACGAAGAAATCAAAATGAACACTAACTAGATAAAATATTTAACTATTAGCGAAAAGGTTATATGTAATAAAAAATATAATCTGTTATCGTCTTACTTGTAAAGTTCATTATAGGCATCCAAATAGGCTTTGAGATCAATATCATCATCTTGAACGAGAGCTCGATCAAAATGATCGTGAACAAGTCTGAGATCAAAATACATTAAATCCATGCCTTCCGCCATTTTCGTGTCACTATGTTTAATCGACTACTGACTTGCTTGCTACGTACTTAAATCTTAAGCTGTGTCAAAGATGACATATTAATTAAACACAGTTGGTGATAAAATGTGTTGTATTAATTGAAAGTGAGATAAGATGTTATGATAACAAAGTCAAATTGATAAGCTGCATATTTAAAAATCAATCACGTTCTGCTTTTAGGCTAAATGGAATTTGATTATCAATGCTGATAAATTTTAATATTATTAAAGGACATTTTTATTATAAAAATTATATTAAAAAAATTTAGATACATATAAGAAGCATTTTTTAATATTAATGTGATTATAATAAATTTTATTTTTTGATCCATTTAGTTTCACATGTTGTGGTTTCAATTCGACATTCTTGAATTTGTCGCTTTAAAATCATAATAATCGATACTTCAGTTTATCGAAGATGGCGACGTAAAATGATAGGTTAACTTTTCTTAAAATTCATTTTATTTTATTATTTAAACTACACGTAATTATAAAATTTATTATTTACATATATAATATTGCAATTACATTATCATATTGAGATATTGTACGCAGAATTATCATATTGAGATGTATCATATTATATGATTCTATTTTTATTATTATGAATAAAGAATAAGGTTATATATATTTTATTATTATATATTAAATTAATTATTAATATAGATATTGAAATTTTTTCACATTTAAAATCAAATTTAAATATGTTTTAATGTAATGTAATATCTGCTTATAATATTTCATACTTTTATTTCACTTTTTGTGATCAATAAGTTCAAAGAAAATTTTGGGGAATTTTGTTGAGCTAGACACGATTCATTTATTGTGTTATGTTTTGATTCATTTTCAAAAGAATGATAAATGAAAAATAGTATCAATTCTATCATTTGGAAGTGATTGCATAAACTTGACAGAACCTCATAATTATACGTAATAACCTTCGTTACTATGTATAATCTTTAAATTATTGTGACAAGAATATAAATTCTAATTAGCTTCAACTAACTAAACTAGCTTCAACATATGCGTTTTAATGCGATATATAAATTATATTCAACAAGTTCTCAAAAAAATGAATAAAATTTTTTTTATTAACAATATTATATTCAATTTTAGCAAAAATGAAAAATATGACATATTATTGATAATATATTATTAATTAACAATTTTATAATATAGGATTTTATTTATATGGTCAAGATATAATCAAAATTAGAAAAAATCAACAATATAATTTTTGCAAAGTTTCAACTATATTCATATGTTTTATATATAATGAATTCTATTAATAATAAAAAGAATTCTATAATTTTTTTCTGCAAATTTTATATAAGGTATTCTTTCCTATTTTATTTATTCTTCTAGTTATATTTAGTTTTATTTATTCTTCTAATTATATTTAGTTTTATTTCAATTTATTAATATAAGTTTATTCTACAATGAATCAATAACATTGAAAGTGACATTAAAATGATAAAATGGTTTTAGAATATAATAAGATAAAAAATATGCATATAGTACAATAGATTTATACTTTATCTTAATTATTATATTTTATTTTATTTTTATTCTTAACTAGAAACTTATTTTTCAAACTTGAAATATGATTTATCGATTTTTAGTCTCTTTGTTCCAAAGAAGGTTTCAAAGAAGGTTCCAAATATTTCCACGAGGAGTGCTATACATAGTTTCTTTGTTCTCTCCTTTCCAACTCAATTTAATTGCAAATGAATGACCTTTAAACATTCCAAACTTGTCTTCCAGCTTAGGTTCGCTAATTAATTACGGCAATTTAGGTTTCATCGCTTGTATTACTGCATATTCATCTGCCTGAGTTCATTCATGTGGAAGGAAATAAATGCGAAATAACGTAAGGATATTTTGTAGAGAAAGATACTCTTCTTACTTTTTTTTTTTTTTTTTTTTTTTTTTTTTTTTTTTTTTTTTTACAATTTTATAATTTCAAGAATAACATACTTTTTAATCTTGTCATTTCAGTGCACTATTAATTGTAATCGAAAATTGTTCAATCATAAACTTCAAAATGTACATTAGTACAAATCGGCAATTACCTTTATCGGTAACACGTAGAACAATGATACGAACAAAAGAGTTTGAGAATCTGGCTGACACTAGACGTATGACTGGATGTATGTTGGTAACTGGTGTCCCTGGGGGCGTTAAATAATTCACCGCAGCTGGGACTGAGGGTTAGATAAGAGGCGAAGCTTGTGGGAGGGCGAAGGAGGCAAAGGTTGAAGGACCGATCAAATATTCAGGTCTACTTCAACGCGGATGGAGCTAAGCAACGTCGAGTATGAAAGCATAACCGAGAAAGAAAAATCTACGAAGTCAAATCTAGCTGTATCTGATACCATTTTCGCTTCGAAAATATTCGCCCTGCTTACGAATTACCGAATTGACGTTCCAAATATTCTATTTGTCTCAGCCCTTTTTTTTTACGATGGTTATCCATATCTAACCAAGTGATCTCGCGAGGATTCGAACGACCAATCACGCTGAGACGCATAAAAATGTGTCACTAGGGTGTTGTAATGTCGGCCATCGAAGCTTGTCAATAGCGATTTCACCAATCGTCTTCATAGAGCTACGATGTGCTACGAATTCGGTCAACTTCAGCATTTTTTTTCTTTTTTTTTCTTTTTATCCTCTCTAAGTAGTGAGAAGAAATCGCTAGAAATCATCCAAACGCATCTTCCATCATAAGAGAGATTTACACTACGGAGTAGTAATTCGATCGTCGGTTCGATAATTGTTATGTCATTTACACTTCCACTTCATTCAATTTTGTCTACCCCTCGAAAGAAAATTGATCTCTCGAACGACAATTCGAGCGACATCGGCCGAAGAAAGGGTCCGAGAAAGAATTGGTCAACGAGGCGTGTTCCGCTCCTAATCATCATTCTAATTATCTCGGTAACCCAATCCACTGTTCGTGTCGCGCCTTGGCTTCCCGCCTCGATTCCCTCCTCAAACTTCTCGATTCTCTCGCCTCGATCCTCACCCTGCCTAACAAATTTTCTCAACCCTCCTCCCAAACTGGTGTCGTTCGTCTCCTTCGCCGATCGTCCCCCCCTCCTCTCCCCCTTCTCTTTTCCCCCTGATTCTCGCTTCCTTTTCCTCCTTGGTCCCGCGACGCGTCTCCTCTCTTTCCTTCCAAGTTGAAGTCTAACTGCGGGATTGCCGACGACCGCCCATCTAAGTTTAACAATTAACGACCGATTAGGGAAAAATAAATTGATCGCAAACTAGCGGCGCGTGCCAGAAACAGGCGATCTAACCTGTCGGACGAGTCGAAACATATTTGCATCTACATCCTTTACAGCTGCGGAGGAAACTTTTGATCGGGGGAGAAAATGTTGAAACGAATATACGGAAGATCGTGGAAGAAAATTATTACCCATGAGAAAGAAATATTTTTATGGATAAAGAAAAAAACGATCGTCACGGGGCAAAAGGAAGGCGAGGCGACGGTGACTAGACGTCAGACACCCTTACGAATTTTTTTCCTCCCTTCGACTCGTCCTTTTGTCCCGGTTGTCAAGGCTGACAAGGAGTGCAAGCATCGGGGACGAGGTATTTGTCATACGTCGATAGGCGTCAGGATTGACATACTCCGCGAGCGTGAAACGGAAGCGGCGTTTGGGGCGGCGACGATTGAAGGGTTCCGAGGGAAAGACAGATAAATATTTGAGGAATTTGTCGTCGTGAAAGAGGCCGAGAGACCTATCGCTTGTTTACCAGCTCTGTGAAAAAAGGATTTCAGTCAATCCCCGTATGCAGAACGCACGAGGGTGAGGACGAGGGCGAAGACGATAGGGGATGTCCTCGTAATTATCGTGAGAAAACGCGATTTTTCCTTCTCCCTCCCTCCCTCTCTCTCTCTCTATCGTACGTCTCAACGATGCATTATTTTAACACGATTTTTATTTTTCCTCTTTTCTTCTCGCACGAATTCACATATATTGATCGAAGCGAGCAGAAAATTGCAAACGTTATAGCCACCTGGCGATACGAAAGAGGCAAAAGGGAAACAGGTCGGCGAGTTTCACGTCTGTCGATCGGGGGATACAGTTCTACGGTACATGTACGTCGGATGTAACGGATCGAGCGCGAAAAGCCCAGGTAGCCGGCGTAAAACGAGCCCGGGAAGTTCATTAATGGATTAAGAGTGGTGGATCGATACGATTAGCGCGGCGCGCGAGCTAGCTGGCGAGCGAAGCAACACGCATCGAAACTTAAAACCTGCCCCCGATGCCCACCACCTCCCGATCAATTTTTCGCCCCCGTGGCTGCGGCCCGGGCCACCTTGATTTATGGAAAACACGATGAAAGTCGCGATGCTCTGTACGCCATAGGTAGCTCATATTATCGGCAGAGATAGATAAATCTGGATTATCAAGGATTCCCTTCGCGGGCGAAGACATACATTTCGGAGGGGGGAGGAAGGGAAGGAGGGTGGGGTGAACGCGTTTTGCGCCCCCGCCCCGTGTCCTGACAATGAAAAAACAAAAGAGAAAGGGCAAAGAGCTATATATATTGAGTCGAACAAAGTCCGTGAATACACGGACGATATGTACAAGCTTCGAAAACAAGAAGAGTTCTTCTGTTTCCTCATCGAGTCAGTTTTAATAACACCCTCGACAACGAGACTCGTTCCCCGCTCGAATCAAGGCCGTCACAGCGTTATGATAATTGTTTTTTCAGGGTGTTTCGAGGGGAATATATCGAGCGTAATTCGCCGAGAATTCGTCGATAATCCCTCCTAGGCCGGGCGTAAGAGTCGTAACGAGATGCTCTCCTATCGATCCCATCGAATTGATATGGGCATCGTGTAGCATACGGCCCCTCAGACCTAGTATCGGGGTTGAATTTTAAAACTACCCCCTAGAGAGAGTTGGCGAGTTGGCGCCGGCCCGTCTTTTTGAATCAGACTGGTAGGACAAGTTGCCCGGCCCCGTTGTTGCGTGAAGAACTACAAATCCCCTGGGACCCGTGCGTCGATACTTTCTTCACCGGCGAGAATCGACGAGATACAACGTTCAACGTGTCAACTGTATGAAAACGACGACGTTTAAAACGTATAAAGAATAACGTTCGAAATTTTTTTCTTCTCTCTCTCTCTCTCTCTCTCTCTCTCTCTCTCTCTCTCTCTCTCTCTCTCTCTCACGTCTTATTCAATTTGGCTAAAAGAAAAAGAAGAAGAAGAAGAAGAAGAAGAAGCGGATTTCTATCTCTCCTCTACGAGTAACGAGACTCGTAATATTAAATCTGGCTCAACGCTCGAAATCTTTCGAACGCAGCCTCGCGGAGGCCGTGCTCATTTGCTCGGGAGG